TGTGCCTCCACCTAAAAGTTGGAAAAAATAAAGAGGGGGTTATTTGGTGTAAAATTGTATATTAGTCCCAAATATTAAAATGATATTAGTAAATTCACTCTATAAAAGAATTTTACAAAAATAATAGTTAATAATAATTCCTTTTCTTGCTTTTTCTGAACAACAAAACACCAATAATTATCCCCCCTACTAAAACACTGCCACTAATTATTCACGGCATACAGTGAAAAACCTTTAATTTAGAGCAATTAAATCTTTTTTAATTAGTTCTTGAAACTTTGGTCGCATATGTTTTCAATTAACTAACTCTACTTCAAAAGGTAAGTTAGATTCAGTAAATTCCTCTCGTAACCGACTAATTATTGATAAAGGCACTTGTTCCCGATAACAAAGATCTAAATCCGAATACTTTTTAGCATTTCATTTTGCTCTTGATCCATAAGCATAAAAATGATAAGGGTATTTACTTAACGCTTTTTTGATAATATTCCAATGCTTTTCTTCTAATTGTAAGTTCATAACTCTGTTATTTCTCTATTTCTATTTGAATTCTAGCAATCAAGTATTCTAAGTCTTTTAAGAATTCTGGTAATACTTTTCACACCTCTGCTAAGATATCAGCATCATAACTATGAACGGTTAAATTTCTGGTTTCTAAGTACTTTTCACCTCAAACTTCAAATTCTCTAATTAAACCTTCCGCCGCAGCTTTACGAAAGGTTTCTTTAGGGCTGTAAACTTCTACTCCTTTACTCATCAGCACTTTTTTGCAAGTTTTTCAACTGAGTTCATAAGCCATTTCGAAAGCTTGAACCCCACCCATTTCTTCCAACTCACTACCGGTTCCCTCCTTTAAAGCTTTTGCGAGAATTTTTTTAGTGGTGAGAAGCGGTTGGAGGTCGAATTTTTGCTTTTTGTTCATACCTGCACAGTTTGATTTTAAAAAATAGTATTTATGACTTTTTTATTTTTAGATTATCTCGCAAGGACACTTTCTCATCGGTACTTCAATTCTTGCTTCTATTTGTTCACTATTTAAGTAATTAGCTACTTCTTCCAAGGAAGTAAAGACTTGGGCACCATTACCTTGGACTAAGCGAGCAGTGGCCTGTAAAGATTTAACTTGGTGTTTACCAAAGCCTTCGGTTAAATAACAGAAAATAGTTTTAGTTGGTCTTTTGTTGCTATCTTCCACTACTTCGGCAATGGCATAGAAACCTAACATCTCTTTAGTGATGACATAGAGTACAAAATCACAAGTTTGTCGTTGGCGAATTTCTTCTTGTTGAACTGCTTCATTTCAATCTTCTACTACGGGATTAAAGTAGGAGATTTTAGTAGAGTCTAATAAAGGGATTAGTCTTTCCCGTCAAGTGGAGTTATTGACAGTTCCGCCTAGGAATACTTTCTTAGTCATGTTATTTGTTATTATTAATTGGTATTTCAATCCTGGCTTCTAATTCTTCATCTAGTAAATTTTCTTTTTCAAGTTCAACTTTAGGATCTTGCTGTTTATCTTGTTTTTTTACATTTTCTTCATAGTAAGAGAACTTACGATAGGTAATTATTTTTTTTTCTAAATCTTTTATAGCGTCAATCATTCCTTGAACTTCACTACTTTTTCCTTTGACTAAGTCTTTAACTAATTCATCTCTTTTTTCTGTTAATTCGTTAATGTCTATTTCTCCATCCTCTTTTCCATCTCATGCTCCATCATATATATCTAAAAACTTTTTGACTTTTTCATTCAAATTTTTAACCGATTTATTTACGGTTCCCTTTAATTCAGCAATTTTTTCAAACTGAGATAACACCCCTAATAACTCATTATAGTTATCTAAAAACTTCTCAGCATCGGCAATGAACTCATCTCACTTTCTTTGCTTGGTAGCATAAATCTGATCATTAACATAAGAAGTAATGGTTTCGACAAAGGGACTAGCAATTGAAATTACCCCACCAATTTGAGTGTAAATTTGCGAGTTAGGATTTTCGGTGTCGGATTGACCCACCAGCACTAAACTACCACCAGTTACTAGTGCCGCTCGATTAGCTCACTGTGTCCCGGTAATTACTCATCAACTTTTACTGAAATCATCCGGATTTTGTAATCTTTTTAGAGCAATTTCTTTATCTAGCTGGTTTTTTCAATAATTTGGTTCGTATCAATTATAATCTTCTTCTTTGCTTCATTTATCCAAAAATTGTTGGATGTTATTGCGAATAACATACAGTCTTTCGAGCGGAATGGTTTTAGCAATCATTTCATTTTGCTTATATCAACCTGCAATTTGCAAGTTACTATTGGGTAAATGCTCAAAATTTTCCTTAACTTTAGTCATTTCAATTTGTAACTTTGCTAGTTTAGTTAGATCTTTTAATGCCACTAGAGAACCGTAGAAACGATTATAAGTGCCTTGTTCAATTCTTTCTTCGATATCATTTCCTAAATAAAGTTCCTCTAAGTTAATGAATTTACTAAATATACTTACATTTTGCCGAAGAAAATTATTGTTGCTGATACTAATGTAGATTAAAGTTTCAGAGTTAAAGGCCTTTCAATCTAATTCTGTTAGGCGATTAGTTCAGGCTTGAAAAATTTTTAATTTCAACTGTGATTTAGGGAACCTTATTGCAGTTAGTTCGTTTTCTCAACACTTAAGTTCAGTTAGTTTGGAACAATTAGAGAGATTTAAAGAAATTATTTCATTATAAGAACAGTCTAGTTTTTCTAAGTTAGGGAACTCGGAGAGGTCTAGTTCTCCGGTTAATTTATTTCAACCATTCTTTTTTTCTCAGGCTTCTTCATTTCAACCACTAAGATCTAGTTTAGTGATAGAATTTCTTACTTCTTTTGAGTAATTGTTGTTCAAGCATTGTTGAGCTTTTGTCATGATTTTATTTTTTGGGCGGGATTTCTATTTGAGTTTGATAATCATTAATAGCTTGCTTACCTTCAATCACTTTCTTATTGACCATATCTATGTATAATTCTCCTTGTTCGTAAACTTCATTATACTTTCCAGCTCTACTTTTTCCAACGCCTCTTCCACAATAGTGTACTTCTAGTACATTTATTAAATCATCTTTATTCTTTTCCCTAGGCACTAAAATAGCAAATCCCCTTTCCCAACCTCAATTGTCTTCTTTTTCTTTCCACTCCTGATTAGGTACCACTAAAAAGTCTCCTTTTTCTTTTTTAACCTTAATATTCTCTGAATACTCATCTCATGATCTATTTGCCTTTATTCTATTAATTCCATATATTTTGAGACTAGCATTATCAGTTGTATCTAATGCAACGTATTCACCTCAAACGGCTTCACTACCCCCAGCACTTATACAATCTATTACATGCAAACAACCATCTAGTTTAATTCCATTTTCAGTAAGTTCAAGTCCTTTTGTTTCTATCTTTTCTATATCTGCAACTTTTCTTATATCAACTACTCCACCCTCGCTAATTTGTGGCATTCGCCATTCGTTAGGCTCGCTACTCCGAGGACCAAATCAAGCTAATACTTCTTTTGCATAACCCTTTTGAACAGAACAATTAAGCACATCTAGCAAGGCTTTTCAGATTTCTTCTTTAGTATAATCATGTCATTTTTTATTTTCTTCTTCATGAGAGCAGTCTTTCGTTTCTTTTTGATTTGGACATTGTGAACAAAAACGAGGTTGATAATTAGGTTCTACCTTATTCCCATATGGTAATAAACCTAATATAGAGTAAATACCATCTAAAGCCACGGTTTGTTTACGATGCTTAACAGCTAAGAGTGCTTGATAAAAACTAAGATTAAAGGTTTGTTCTTTCTTTGCCCCATAACTTCAACCAAAAGGAGTAATAAAGATTTCTGGTTTAGTATTTAGATTTCTTAATCTTGGTTCTAAATAATCATGTTGAAAACTACTCCAAACCAAAGCTAAAATTTTCCCATCCACTAAATAATCATCAAACATAAAAATAGTTTGTTTACTCAGTAGCCCTTCTTGGAAAGTCCAAGCACGAGTAAACCATGGCGAAGTAACTATTTTTTTAGTAATATGTTTAGCCAATTCTAATTTATTTTCTCTATTTACTTCTTCTCCAATTTCAGCATCAACTGCAATTAAAGTAGCAGTGGCATTAGAGTAATATTGTTTTTGATTAGCAACTTCTTGTCCTTTTTCGATTGGATCGGACTGGTTAATACAAAAGTTATCAATTCAAATATGATCAAGATTAACATTTTCTTTTTTATCTTTATTAATTAACTCCCAAGTTTTAATTACTTTATTTAAAGCTTTACGACCTAATTTAGTTAGTTTAACCTCATAAGTTTTACCATCTTTTTTAGTGACAGTCCGTTCTTTCTCATCTTCTCAATCAGTTCCTCAACAGTAAGAAAGAGCTAGATAATTAGGGATATCTGTTCTACCTTTGGTTTCTTCTACTTCCTCAGTTTTTAAGTTATAAAGACGAAGGGGTAATTGTGGCGGAGTAGAAGAATTATTTTCTGAATTATTCTCTCAACTAAGGAGTCGTTCATCACGAAGCATAAAGTTGGAATAATCTAAATTAGAAAGATCATATTTATTTTCCCAAGTTTGATCAATATTGTCTAATTCTTTTTGTAAATACTCGGGGATAGTTGTTGCCTTTTCTGGAAAAACTTTTTCGTAAGGAAGAATTACTGGTTCTTTACCAGCATGTCTCATTAAATCTGGATGAGCTTCTTGTCAAGCCTTAAGGTTATTTCCGTAAAAGAATAATTCTTCTTCTAACTTTTTAGTTTTAGCATCTTTTCCATTTAATCCATCATAACATTTTATTTCTTCCAAACTACTAGGTAAATATTCTAATCCACTATCTATATTAGTGTTTTTAATATTTAAGTGTTTTAAATTAGTCATATTCTTTAAAGGTTCTAGAGAACCGCAAAAACTGCCTCGTGTCCCCTGCCCACCTAATTCCAAAGTTTTTAAATTTACTGAATCTTTTAAAAAAGACAGATCTTGCTCAGCAGAAAACTTATTATCATTTAAGATTAACTCTTCTAACTTTCCTCCCTGTAAAGGTAATTTGATTTCTTTGAGTTTATTATTAAAGCAGTCTACTGCTTGTAGGTTGAGGCAGTTAGTTAGGTCTAAAGTAGTTAATTTACTTCGAGAGCAATCAAGTTTTTTTAAATTAGGACAATTAATTATTTTTAATTCTTTCATTGCAAAAGAATAAATGACATCTACTACTTCCAATTGTGGACAATTGCTAATAATTAATTCATTTATCATATTTTGCTTGCCCATTCCTCCACTTTTGATTCTTTTCAAGTTAGGAAAGTCATCAATAATTAATTTTCCTCCTTTTTCGTTTAAGAAAATTTCTTTCACTTTTTTCTTGCTAGAATAGTTTTCATCTAATCACTTTTGAGCACTTTCGGCATATTGTTGAGGAGTTGTTCCAGCATTTTTTAATCGAGAAATTGAGTTGTAATTCTCAATACCTAAGCCAACACTTATTCATTCTTTTGCTTCTTGATAAGTTAAGCCTACTTCTTCTCATTTTTGTTGGTAGGTTTTTCCGTAGTAATCTTTAGCAAAATCTTCGTGAATATCTATTCAAAGTTTCTTATATTCTTTTCTTAAACTTTTGGTAATGCCTTGTTGTTGAATTTCTTGAGGGGTTAAACGTTTTTCATCTCTTAATCAAGTAACAAAAACCAGACTACTATTAGGCTCAAACTCTTCTTTCAAGATTTCTCTTGTTTCTTTAGTAGTTTGGTAATCAAATCCACTCGCCATTCAGGTTAATGCTCAACCTGTTTTAAAATTTTCATGAATGTTCCCTCATTCTTGATACAATTCCTTCAAATATTCTTTTAGTTCCTTCCTCGATTCTTCAACATTTAATTTTGTATCAAAAGGCTGTTTTTTTATGTTTATTAGTCATCAGACATGGTTTGATTCACTTGGAGTAAAACCAAGATCTATCCATTGTTTACTTTGCTTATAACTAAATCCTTTCTCTTCCCATTCTTTTTGCACTTCGGTAAAATCAGGATGAATTTTTTTTCAATTTTCTGTTGTTCACTTTGCTAAATCATATTCCTCATCACCTAAAGCATAATTTTTTAACTCTTCACAAATCTTACTACATTGGTAAGCTGCTTCTCGACCAATAGTAGTTCCACATTTAATTCTTTCTAAACTTTCCGGTAAATGTTCTAACCCTTCACTAATATCAGTATTGATAATACTTAATTCTTTTAGTTTAGACATGTCTTTTAAAGGTTCTAAGGAACCACCAAAAGAATTAAAGTGCCTATCTTCATGACTTAACATAGTTTTCAAAACAAAAGAAGGATTAACTCTTTTTCTCCCTAGTTTAAGGGATTCTAAATTAGTAAAGGTGCTAAGAAAAGTTAAGTCTTTCTGAGTAAAGTAATTATCTCGAATGTCTAATTTAGTTATTTTTTTCTCATCAGCAAATTTTAGATTAGTTAATTGGTTATCAGAGCAGTCGAGTTCCTCTAAATTGACAAACTCAGACAAGCCTAATTCACCTTCTAGATTTTTATTACTTATGTTTAGTTGTTTAATTGTTTTATCAGGGTAATTTTTGTTTATAAATTCTTGTGCTTTTACCATATTATTTTTGTGTTATTATTCTTTACAATTACTAAACGCTCTTAAGCATTCGTATCTAATAAAGTAGTGATTGATTTAAAAGTTATGCTTATTAGATAATTTTGACCATAGGCAAACAAATATAACTAAAAAATATTCCCAGTGGGAACAATAATAATTATTCCCACGAAAAAATTTACTAGCTATTCATTTTCCTCATCATTGTCTCCATTACCTTCGGCATCCGCTGGACCATCTCATCAAGCCGCTAACTTTTCTCACCAAATAATCCCAGCAAGAACTAGACTTGTACCAACAATCAGGAAACCTCCGGCGATTATCGCACTCGGATTATCTCAACTTCAGAAGCCTTTTATTTTTTTATTTTCATCATTATCTTTAGTCTTTATCATTGAATGATTTTGACCTCCTAATTTTTCATAATAAAATTTAGCAATAGCCTCATCAGAAAACTCTCCTCGATCATTTTTATTATACCGAGAACTATCTAATACTTTATCGCCATCTTTTGCATCTTTCATTTCCTTAATTATGGTTTCTTTTAGAGCACTATCAGCTACTAATTCTTGAGAAGCAATAGTTCCAATCACTATTTCCGGACTTAAAGATCAGAACCAATCTAATTTCGCTTGTTCAGAAGAACTATCATCAGGGAACTCAGGTAAACCTGGTTTCTTAGACACATTTTCTTTTAAGTATTTAACCAAGTTGAACTTCTTAATTTTAGCATCACTAGCATTAACCTTATCCGCAATCTTTTTAATTTCTCCAGCATCCCCTTTAAAATTAATAGAACTTTGGTAATTTATTCATTGTTTAGTAGTGTCACTGAAAATGTTAATTCCTGTTTGTAGAGCAGCTTTAAGATTACTAGGAAGAATTAATTTATCAGTTGGAATTGGAGTCCCTTTTAGATAATTATCAATCTCTTTTAATTCATTTTCTGCCTCTGGACTCAGAACTCCTTTAACTTTTGCAGAATCCAAAGAAGTTTTTACTCCAGTAAGTCAAATTTTCTCATACTCTTTACTATGGAATTTACCATCAGTGTTCCTTCATTTATCTAATCTTTTAGTAAAATTCTCACCAAGAGCCACTCAAACTTGGTAAGGAGCCAGAATACCTAACAATGTCTTTTCTTCATTATCCATTGTTTGTCGGAAAGTAGTCGTATCAAAAGCAAGGTCATTCGGATATAAATCTGGATATTTATTTTGTCATTCTTCTACTAAACCTAAAATGCTTCTTAAGAACATTTTTTCTTTTCAACTCTTTTTAGTTTTAGCATTGATGGCATTGAAAGTTTCTTTCAAACCTTTCATTTTTCCTTCTTTAGCTGTTTTTTCTAAATCTTGGGCAATTTTAAGTTCTTGTCTAGCTTCTTCTTCCTTACTGTCAATAATGTTTCGTTCAACAAGTTTTTCACCTAATTTAGAACCTGCTGTTCTAAGAGTTTCTCTTTTAGCAGCAGTTTTAGTGTTTCATTCATCTCACACACCGGCAATTTTGTCATCAATTTTATCTTGTTTAATTTTGGTATTTAATCACTTAATCTGACTATCACTAAAACCAATAGCTCTAGTTTTTAACTCATCAAAAGTCAAACCTCTTGCTTCATTTCTAAACTTTGCAAGAGATTTCATGGTACTTAATGCTATTTTCTTAGCAATACTTTCTCACTCTGATTTAAGTTTTATTACTTCTTTCTCCGTAAATACTTTTTTTCCATGGACATCTACTAAATTTTTGATAAATTCTTCAACATGTTCTTTATAAGTCTCTCTAACGACAAAACGACGAAAAGCTGTTGAAGTTTCAGCACTAAGTTTTTTCTCATAAACGCTTATTTTCTCCTCCCGAATTTTTTCTTTAGTATTTCCATCTTTACTTAATATTTCATCATAGACAGAAAAATCAATATCATATTTTTTATTATAAACTTGTCAAAAAAATTCAGGTATTTTACCATCAGCTCAAGTTAATTTTTTTTCTTCAACGGGAAAAGGAGCCCCAAGAATACTTGCACTTCCACTATCGATAACATAATTTTTTGCAAAAATACTATTATCAGTTCCTCTATAATAAATATCATGAGACTTATCTAAACTATCACCATTACTAAACTGTAAACAGCTATCTTCACCCACTTTTAAGAAAGGACTATCTTTGTAATTAGTATCTTTGGGAAAGAGAGCATGCATGATACTAAAAATATCACTTATATGTATAATTTCTTCTGTTTTTACTTTTTCTTTAGTTCATATAATTCGCCCATCATTCCTATCAAATTTATGACTAGAGCGAGTTTCAACAAACATAAAACTTCCCTGACTATCACCAAAATAACCCATTAAACTACTATTGCGACCATTCTTAAATTCAACATTTCAATTCCGAATCCTTTCAAAGGTATCTTTAAACTTTTTCTTATCATTAGCACCTCAAGCACAAGCCGAAGAAGAAATATAATCAAAAAGTTTATCTTTATCTACATTTTTTAAAAGAGTTCAAATTTGACCTGGTAAATCTTCGAGCAAATAAGCCGGATGAGCATAAGGTTTAGCACTACTAATATAACCAGTTTGGATGACTGATCCATAAGAAGTAGCTGAATCTGGCACAGTAGGTGTATAAAATCGTTCTGAATAATCTTTATTGCTGTCTATGATATTTTGCAAAATTTTGAGACCTGCACCCCCAGCAGTTTTAAGTTCATTTTTTAAAGCAGTAACCGCAGCAGAAACCTTACCTTCTAATGTAGTTTGTTCCTCTAATAATTTTTGATTATATTTTTTTTGCAGTTTTTCTATTTCTTCATCTACACCTTTTCCTTTGTCTAGTAATTCTTTAAGTTTAAGTGCTGTTGTTTCAATTTTTCGATCAAATTCAGGTTCATTTTCAGCAAAAAAAACATCTTCAAGTTGACTAATAACTTTGTCAACTGGTTTATCACTACCCAAACTATTAACTAATTGATAAGGAATAGTCTCACCTTTTTGTTCTACTAAAAAACTTTTTAATAAAGTTCTTTTGTCATCATCTAAACCCATGGTTGCAGTTTTTACTTTTTCTTTAGATTGTTTCAAATTGTTAAGTAATTCGGCAGTATCTTGAAGAAATGTTTTATTCAAAATACCATTTGGTTTTAAAAGACCATTATCAAAGATAGCCTTTTCTTCTGGCTTAAGAACTCCTCCGTAATAATTCGGGTATTCTTTAGCTTCATTTTCAGTGTTAATATCAGTTTTGTTAAATGCCATATGTTGTTATAAAATGCTTTTTGAGTAAGAGTATTATTACTTTATTATTTAGATAAGTAAATAACAATTGTTAAGAGAGAGAGAGAGAGAGAGAGCAAAATTACTTTATTGTCTTATCTAATCTATTCTTCTTTGTTATTTCTATCTAAAATCAGTAAAGTTTACTGAACGATTACTACTAAATTTAAAAAATTTATCTTTTAGAATACTAGTAATCGTAGTAGTCGATTTAGGAATTACTAGTTTCTATTATTATCGTCTCTGTTTCTTCCATAAATTAATTATTTATTATTATATATATAAAATATTTTACAAAAAAAAAAAAAAAAACGCAGAGATAATGGAAGTCTGGGCTAATCTAAAAGCAAAACTCACTCAAAGACAAATGGTGGTTTATCAACCTTGAACTGGTCCGCAAACTCGTCCAGGAAAAGAATGAGTTAAGCAGTTAAGTAGGAAAGAACTTCTCGAATTAAGAGGTTGTGGTAAATTAGGAGAGTATGGAAATTTAGTGAAGAAGTTAGACCTAATCAAATCCTTGGTGGCAGAGAATAAGTTAGCAAAGTTAAAGCAATTATGTAAACGAGGAGAGCTTTAAGCCACCACTATTTTTATCAATCTAAACAGTCTTTTATTAGTTAGACTTTAAAGAAACTAAAAAGGAGTTTTTAACTTTGTTACTCCTTAAAGAAGTTAAGGAACTAGTAAAATATGAGATATAGGTTGATTATGCCTAGAAAAAGAAGAATAGAAAAAGAAGAAGTTATTCAATTAGACTGATCGTAAATAAGCAAGTTATTAACGAAATAATCATTGATCCTCACTATGAAATTAATCATTCTTATATGACTGATGAATTGATTTATGAATTAGTTCAAGATCTTAATAATCGTAGATTTGTTCCTAAAGATAGGAAAAAACCTTGATATTATTTCGAAACTGATGTTGAAAATGAAGGAAAAAACTATCATTTAGTCTGATGTTTAGAAGATGATCAAAATTATTTAGGCGTAATTAATTGTTATCGAAAGAAAAAATATGACAAAAAGTAAAATCGTTCTTAAAGGAAAAAAAAACGGTAGTTATAATTTTCCTCCTGAAAAAGAATTAAAAAGAGTTCGCGAAAAGGAGGGAATAGCTAATATTGTTTTACCGAAAAATGCTACTTTTTTAGAAAGGGTTAAGTATGAAATTTGTCAAGCGATTTTGGCTTACCAACAAGATAGTCACTTAACTTATAGAAATATATCGCAAAAAATAGGCATTTCTTCCGAGCAAACTGTGGACATGCTGCGGGGAAATATCGCCGGTTTTGCCTTGGATAGTTTAATAACTTATGCTGAGAAACTACACATTCCTTGCCAAGTAAAAATTACTACCAAAGAAAATGGTCGCGTAAGAAAAACCACTTAACTTGCTTTTTTTCTTCTTTACCTCACTATTGTATAAATTAGAAGTTTACTAAAATTTAACGTTTTTTTTACTTGGGTATAGATCACTAAAATTTGCTTATAGAATGTTTCAACTTGTAACTAATTTTAAACCCCAAGGGGACCAACCACAAGCCATTAAAAAATTAGTCAAAGGTATTGAAGAAAAAAAAAAAGAGCAAGTTCTTTTAGGAGCAACAGGTACTGGTAAAACTTTTACGATGGCTAATATTATCCAAACTGCCCAAAAACCAACTTTAATTTTGGCTCATAATAAGACCTTAGCAATGCAAATTTACCAAGAAATGCAAGGATTTTTTCCTCACAATCGGGTCGAGTATTATGTTTCTTATTTTGATTATTATCAACCAGAGGCCTACAAACCTGCTAGTGATACCTATATCGGAAAAAAAGTACAAAGAAATGCTAACATTGCCAAAATGCGTTTAAAAACCTTAAACTCTCTAGTTACTGATTCATCCGTAATTGTGATAGCATCGGTAGCAGCGATTTATGGTTGCTTTAATCCGACTTCTTACCGAAAGGTGGTTCTCCATTTAGAAAAAGGACAAGTGATCAATAGAGAAACAATTAGTTCAAAATTAACCCATTTAGGTTACAAAGAGGATAAAAAAATTAATCCAGGAAGTTACCAAACAAATGAAAAAAATATTTCTTTTATGATCGGCTGAGAAGAAAACTATTATTTCCAAATAAATTTTTCCGAAAAAGATGAAATAACCCAAATAGAAAAAAGAAATAAACAAACCAGCGAAAAAGTTCGGGAAGTGACCAAAATTGCTATCCCGCCCAGTCAAGATTATGTTGGTGAAGAAGGAGAAAATTTAACCAAAATTCTAGAAAAAATTGCTGAAGAACTAATAATTCGCAAGGAAAAACTAGGGGAAGAAAAAAATTTTTTAGCAGCAGAAAGGTTAGAAAAAAGAGTCCAAGAAGATTTATTTAACTTACGTGAAATGGGAGTTTGTCCTGGTATTGAAAACTATTCTCGTTATTTTGACGGAAGAAAAGAAGGAGAAACCCCATTTGTTCTCTTGGACTATTTCCCGAAAGATTTTTTAACTATCATTGACGAATCACACATTACTATTCCGCAAGTGAAAGCGATGTATAATACAGACCGCCGAAGAAAAGAAACCTTAGTAAAATATGGCTTTCGTTTGCCTTCCGCTCTCGATAATCGTCCCTTGAACCAAGAAGAATTTTTTACAAAAATTGGTTATACTCTCTACGTTTCAGCTACACCCGGGAAATTTGAATTAGACAAGGTAAATTATCAGCCAGTTGAGCAAATTATCCGTCCAACTGGGCTTTTAGACCCTCAAATAGAAGTAAGAAGTTCTCGTAATCAAATTGCTGAGATCATGGAAGAAATAACTAAAAGAAGTGAAAAAGGAGAAAAAGTCCTTATTTATGCTTTAACTATCGTAATGTCTGAAGAAATTGCCAACTTTCTGCAAGAAAAAAACATTCGTGTAGTTTACTTACACAGCAGGTTAGAAATTTTTGATCGTTATCAAGCCATTACCAGCTTGAGGCGTGGAGTGTATGACGTAATAGTAGGAATCAATTTATTAAAAGAAGGAATAGACTTGCCCGAAGTTTCATTAGTATGCATTTTAGACGCTGATAAATCTGGTTTTTTGCGGGATACCCGCTCCTTAATCCAAATCATCGGGCGAGCATCCCGAAATAGTAGCGGTAAAGTTATCCTCTACGCTGACAAAATTACCAATAACATGTTAGAAGCTATTGAAGAAACTAATCGCCGTCGCCAAATCCAACAAGAATACAATTATCAAAGAAATATTACTCCGCAGACAGTTCAAAAGCCCATCAAGGATATAATTCTAGATTACGAAATAACTATCTTGGTCGAAAAAGCTCAACGAGGAGAAATGAAAAATAAGGAATTAACCAAGTTAATTAAAGACCTACGAAAGAAAATGAAAAGGTCTACTCGAGAATTCAAGTTTGACCAAGCTATTGCTTTTCGTAATGCTCTCTTAGACTTAGAAAAATTAGAAATAGTCTTATAAACGGGTAGCAAGCGAGAAACAAAAAAGGATAAAAAGATATTCGCAAAGGAGTGAATAAAAATTTTCTAGTAACAAACTAGACCTATAAATAATATTTTTTTTCGAAACTCTATAAGGTTTTGATAACATGCTCGAAAGAATTTCAAATTTTTTAGTCCAACATTTTAGTGCTAATCAATAAATTTAGAAATAATTGGTTCGCAAAACTTGTTAATTTTCTCGGTTTCAACAATTATTCCTCCTCCTAAGCAAATGTCTCGGTAATAGAAAACAGCATACTGGCCAGGCGTAATAGCTCTTTGTTTAGTTAAAAATTCTACTCTTCACCCCTTAGAATCTTTGGTGGGAAAAACTTTAACTGGGATTTCTGGTTGACGATAACGGAACTTAGCTGTTAATTCAGTGCTATTAAAGTAATTAAATACTTCTTTTTCTTCAATCAAGAATTTAATATTTTTTACTAAGCATCATTTGCTGTATAATCAATCATTTTCTCAACCACTAACTACATAGATAATATTTTCTTTAACATTTTTTGCTACCACATAACAGGGATTTTTTTGTCCTTTTAATCTTAAATTTCGCCGCTGACCAATTGTAAAATAAGGGATTCCTGGGTGTTTTCCAACTATTTCTTGTTTATTAATATCCATTATTACTCCTTCTTTTTTAGGAAAATAATTATTAAGAAACTTTTCAAACTTGTGTTCGCCAATAAAGCAGATTCCAGTCGAATCTTTTTTTTTGGCATTATTTAGCCCGATTTCTTCGGCGATTTGACGAACTTCTTTTTTGGTTAAATCAGCCAAAGGAAAAATTAGTTTACTTAATAAACCACGGTCAATTAGACAAAGAAAATAAGTTTGATCTTTATTATTATCTTTAGGTTTATTTAGGTAATAATTTTCTTCTTTGTGAGTAATTTTAGCATAATGACCCGTAGCAATGAAACCAGCAGCGAATTTTTGTTTTACATAGTCAACAAAATAATGAAATTTAATTGCACTATTACATAGAATATCGGGATTAGGAGTAAGACCTTCTTTTAATTCTTGCAGAAAATTAGCGAAAACTTCATTTCAATATTCCTGAATGAAATCCACTTTGTAAATTGGAATATCTAACTGTTGAGCCACTTTTTGGGCATCACCCCAGTCTTGAACTTGGGAACAAATTTCTACTGTTTGGCCACCTAAGTAGTTATCCCAATTTTGCATAAAAACAGCAATCACTTCATAGCCTCTTTTTTTTAAGAGATAAGCTGCCACGGCTGAGTCCACTCCCCCACTTAAAGCGAGAACAATTTTCCCACTACTTACCATTAGTTTATTTTAATACTAAAGTTAGAATTGAAGATTAACAAGAAAGTATATGTCATTAATTTTCTTTTAAAGGAGAAATAGCTTCGGGAGTAGTAATTTTCGCAAATTCCTCAACTAAGTCAATAGTTTTTATCTCTATTAGGCATTTTTTTAATTGTTCTTCTCTTTCGGTTAAGTTTTTTTTGCTTTTGTTAATTAATAATAGTTCTGTTCCGGGATAATCTAAAAAGTCTACTGGATCAAATGGAATAAAACGATAACTAGCAAATTTTTCTTGTAAATTTTGGGGATAATTAGCCTTTTGCTTTTCGCCTAGTCCTACTCCTGCTGGAGTTTCAGTATGAGGATTTTTAACATTAATCAAATAATCGTCTTCTTTTCGCAAATTGAATTCTTGCTGAACTTCTTTTAGTTGGGGGGGTTTAGTTATTTGATAAATAAAGTGGGCATGATTTCCGTGCTTGGCAATGATAAACTTTCCTTCGGCTAAACAATGAGCAACTGGATCAATAGTTTCGCCCTTTCCTACTCGATGTTTTTCTTCTTTTAAAGTTTCTAATAACTCCGCCTTAGAATTTTTAACTGCTTTCACAAAAAGAAAATACTTATCCTTAGTTTCAACCGGCAATTGTTTTTTACCAATTACTAATACGTGGTATTTTTTGGCTTGACTAGACAAAACTACGAAGAATCTTTGTACTTCTTCTTTACTTTTTGATTTAGGACGGTAAAAAAAATAAATACTACCGCTTTTTAAAATTGTAATTTGGTTGCTGTTCATAATCATACTTAATTCTTATGAATGAATTTATAAGGAGTTTGTTAAGTAAAAGAGTGAATGGGGGAATTTTTTCTTTGGTTCTTTCTTTTAATACTAACAAGTGCCAAGCCAAAAGAGATTTTGGACTTGACCTTTAATTGTTAAAAGCATAAACAAGCAACAAAACTAGAAACAGTCTTATAACTCCAAAAATCAACACGCTTTTTATTTGGTCTTTTCTTCAATTGTGTTTTTCTTTTTTAGAGAGTTTATCCCACCAACTATCATCATAACCTAGTAACTTCCTTATTTTTTTCCAATATACTCGACAAAGAGCATAAACTATACAAGCAAAAATGTATCAAATTCACACTAATAATTTATGCTCTTGTTTCGCTGATTCTCAACCTTTTACATTAATAGTTATCAATACGTCAACAAAAAATACCGAGAATAAACAGGAGAAAAAGTGTAAAAAAAATAACCAGATATTCCTTTTCCTCGTTAACTTTCTAGTCAAAAAAACCTAAATTTACTTTTTATCTTTTGCTTTGATACTCAATATATTTACCAACAATTTTTCCTTGATCATGAAAGTCCCCAGTCGCAGAATCAACTAATACTTCTGCCATATGAGCCCCAACTTTTCCTACTTCCTTATCATCAGCAATTACTCCATAAGTCATCATGCTGGCACTGGCAACTCCTGCACCAACCGACAGCGGAATTGTCACTGCACTAAGTGGAGTAAAATAACTAACCGCTAATCCAACAGAGAGAACTTTTTTAGTTACTGTTTCTGCTGATTGACTATTCCCTGGACCATATCGCGGACCATTTAATGCTTGGTCTTGATATTCAACTTCGGTAAGAAATTCACTTGCTTCGTTAGATTGATAAGTTTTCATAAATTCCTCAAAACTAGGAATTTCGTTTTTTAATTCATAAACCATTTCGGTTTTAGGTATAATATTTTCGTTTACCATATTATTTTTAAAATTTATTTTTTTTGATTTTTATTTTAAATGCTACTAATTAAGCCTAGTAGTCAAGCATTTAAAGATTGTTTTCGTTTACTAGGTTTAGCCTAGTTTGATTGATCTAGAACTTTTTGGTGCCTAAACGGCACGGGACTCTTCTACTACTGGTAATGAATATTCACCTTACAAATGTTTTTACCATGATAATAATTCTTTACATATTTGTTTATATTATATATAATATTTTAATTAAAAATTCCTTTTATTAATTATAGCTTTGATTGCTTGGTGGGTTTTTTCTAATTTTTCTTCTTCTTGATTGTAAATAATTACATATCCGTTATTTTCAATTTCGATAGTTGAACCCGTTTCCTCAGTTAACTGGTTGATCGTTTTGCCACGTGGTCCAATAATTAAACCGATTTTTTCTTTTTCGACATAGAAACTACGACATTTAATGACTTGAGTAGGTAAAGTAGAACGAGAAGAAAAAATTAAATTTCTCATTTCAGTTAATATATAGAGCCGAGCCTGACGAGCTTTTTCCAAACATTCTCTTAATAATTTATTACTAATTCCGCGGTTTTTTACATCTAGTTGCAGCGAACAAATACCTTTTTCAGTTCCAGCAACTTTAAAGTCCATCTCGCCTAGTTTGTCTTCTAGACCATTAAGATCAGTATATATTTGCCCTTCAAATAACCCTAAGGCTATCCCGGCGGCTGGCCTAATAAGGGGAACGCCGGCGGTCATTAAAGCTAAAGAAGTAGCACAGATAGAGGCCTGAGAAGAAGAACCATCTGAAGAAAAAACCTCCGAAACTACTCGAATAGTATAAGGAAAATTGCTAACTTCGGGAACTAAATGATCAAAGGTTTTTTCTACTAATTCTCCATGGCCAATTTCTCGCCGAGAGACACCACGGTAGCTAGCCACTTCATTGACCGCAAACTGAGGAAAGTTATAGTGGTGAATAAAATATTTATGATAACGAGAAAAAATACTGTCGACTAATTGCTTATCACTAATTTTTCCAATAGTTACTATGGAGAGGATTTTTGTTTCTCCTCGTTCAAAAACTGCACTACCATGAACATTAGGCAAATAGTCAATGTGAATTTTCAGGGGGCGAATTTCTTCAATTTTCCTTCCATCTAGTCGAACTTGTTTTTCTTTTCATATTTTTCGCATTCAATTTCGCAAACAACTGTCCCAAAATCGCTCAATAAAACCTTTAACATAATCTTCTTCTAAGTGAGGATTTTTTTCCCAATATTCTTTAGTCAATTCTTGTCTACATTCTTTCAAACTTTTTTCCTTATTTATTCAAGAAATATCAGTTAAGAGGAAGATTTTTTTCAAATAATCGTTACTCTTTTGTATTAATCATTCGTTTTGTTGAATGTTTAAATTATTCGCTTTTGTTGTTACTTTTTCTATTTTTAATACATTGGCAATGTGGCGAAAAAATCCGATTAGTATCAAAATTTCTTTTTGAGCGAAACTTATCGCCTTTTCTAGTTCTTTTTCGCTTATTTCCTGAGCGGCACCGTCCAACATAGTAATTGTCTCTTCAGTGGCACTAACAATTAGTTCAAGAGGAGAATCATTCAATTTTTCGTCACTAGGATTGCAAACAAAATTATCTCCTTCTTTACCAACCATTACGGCTGCTAATGGAGTTTGAAAGAAAGGAAGATTGGAAGAAAGAAAACAAACCAAAAAAGAATTTCAAACTGATACTAAGCGAGGATCGCATGCTTGATCCAAGGAAAGAACACAATTACTTATTTGCACTTCTTGGCTTCCTGCCGAAGGAAAAAAATTTCGAAGTGAACGATCAACCATCCGAGCAGCAGTGACCGCATCATAACTCGGCTTGCTTTCTCGTTTACCAAAAGCGTTAGGAATCCTTCCCACCGCGTAAAACTTTTCCTCAAAACTAACCGCTAAGGGGAAAAAAGAATTATTTTCTTTGGTTAATTTCTTAATTGTTAGCACAGTCAGAACTGTAGTGTTACCATAACGGCAAAGAATGGATTTTTCACTTTTGGTAGCTAATTGATCAATCTCAAATACTACTTCTCGACCTTGAAAATTAAATTCGAATCTATGTGCAGGTTTATTAAAAAAATCTTTTTTTAAATCATCTTCTATCATATTCATTATTTTTGAGAAATTGAAATAGCAAACAAATATTTAAAAAGTACCAATTGTAATTTTTGCCAGCAACAGAACAAATTAATTTTAGCACGCTTAGCAATAAATCTTCAGCAAAATTTCCGTTGTTTTTTTATCGCTAATTAATTATTAGCATATATATACCTATATTTAGTCCTTATCTGTCGGATTAAATCTACTCCAATATTCACTCCCCCGAATCAACTAGAAAAAGGTAGATTTGTAAAGAGATTATCAAAGACAACGTTAAAAAAAAGCACTATGGCATATCAAAACAAAACAATCTTATTAATTATTATTTTCAGTAAATTACTAGTTGCGCGCCCGGGTCGCAATCCATCAATATAAATTCCTTGTTTTCTCAAATCTTTGCTAATTTCACTTGGTTTTCATTGCACAAATCTCATTTGCGATCAGACCACTAACCAACGAAGAAAAAGAAGGAAAGAAAGTGCACCAAAAATTTTTCACTTGGCTCCACTAATTCAATCTCAGACATTTTCAGTGGCAAAAATTCTTTTTTTTTCATTAAGGGAAAAAAGAGAACTCCAAAACCCTTGCCCCCCCCCTAATTCATTTGCTGATAATAGTTGTTTTTTCCTCTGCGCTTCCCCTCATTCGGTATTTAATTCTTTCAGATTAAATCAATTCGCTCTTCCTTTAATAAGGTAAAGACTGTAAAAAAAAGAAATAAATTGCGAGAGATAAATTAACGGCATAAAACTAAAACTTAATTTGAATCCCAACTTAGAATTTTTCTTCTTCAGTAAACTATTATCTTGACTATAAAGAGTGTTAGTGTCAACCGGCACTTCTCATTTCAAATTGGTTATCCAAATGAAGAAAACTGTAATAAAGAACAAATAAAGAAAATGAAGGGGTTCTACCCCTCCTTGAAACAAATCTTGTGGCAAGAATTCTACCAATAACATAATATTAAAAGCGTTACAAATTCCATATTGATTCATTAACTGAACAAGTAATTCTAACAAACAACAATTAATCACCGTAATAATAAGGGACAATAGCAGAATGTCATTCCAACTACTTTCCAAAGCGTCAAAACTAAACAGCCCAATGCCTAAAGAAAAAACAAATACTAAAATTTTGGTAATTCAATAACGTCACTTTTTAAATTTGACTTGATCCGTTTTTTCTGAAAGAAAAAATTGGAAAAAAAACCCTAAAAAAAAGTTAACTTGTAACTGAATGCTAATACCTAAAAAAAGTAACTTCTTTTCACGTCCTTTAACATTGGTTAATCATTGGCTAGGAAAAGGAATCTTATGTTTACCAAGAATGTAAAATATTAATCCTGCTAAACTTACTAAACAAGCTATCAAAAAAGTATAACGTTGTTCTTTAACTCTTCTTCCTTTACTACTAACTGCCATAAACTATTATCTTTCTATTACCTGAGGTTTTCCTCCCGACTTAACAATCTTTTCTTGAGCAGCCTTGGAAAAGAAATTCGCTTTAATTATCAAAGTTTTAGTTAGTTCTCCTTTCCCTAATATTTTTACGGGAAATTTACTTTGGGTGAAATCCACTATTTGCCCAGTAATGATTTTTTCATCCTTTTCTAATGCTTCTAAATTAACCCACTTGATAAGAATATTTTTTGTTTTAAACCCGCGCTTAGGAAAACGTCGGTAAACTGGAGTTTGGCCGCCTTCAAATCCCGGACGAGTATGACCGCTTTTTCTTGCCTTTTGTCCTTTTTGTCCTCGTCCACAAGTCTTTCCACTACCCGAGCCTTCACCACGACCAAGGAGCTTTTTTTTCTTGACAATAGTAGTTAAGTAATTATTAATAGTCATATTTTTTTCCAGTTAATTTGTCTAAACACATAAAAGCTGCTCGAATCACATTCAACTTATTCCTTCGCGAACCAATTATTTTTGTACTTATATCCTTTATTTCTAGGAATTTAAATAACTTACTAAGCACTCCACCCGCCTTAATACCACTACCTGGCGGAACTGATTTCATAAAAACTGTGGTAGCTTTATAATTAATTATAACATCGCGGGGGATAGTCCGTGGAGGAGAAGGGAAATAGGTTAGTAATTTTTTTTGAGCTTTCTGGACGGACTTACGAAAAGCACTAATCGATTCTTTACCGCCAGCACAAGCAAAAGCAACTGCTCTTTTTTCTTCATCCTTGACTAAAACTAATGAGGTAAAACTAAACCTACGTCCACCTTTAGTTACAGTCACCGGCCTTTTTGTTTCTAACCTTTCCGTTTTAAGTCGAACACGAACATATTGACCTCTTCTTTCAAACTTTTTGTCCTTTCCCTCCACTTTGTTTGAAACTCATTTTTTTTCTCCTGCACCTGGTTTTAAATTACTATTTTCCTTTTCCATTTAAAAATTAATTCCTAACTGTCTCATTGATTCACAAAAAACCTTTACTTTCCCATGATAAAGACGAGAATTGCGATCGAAAACAATCTGCCCTTTACCTTTCTCCTTTAATCTATCTGCAAATAATTCTCCTAGTTTTTTAGCATATTCTTTATTCTTGCGAGAAAAATTTTTATTTTCCTCAACTAAATCAGCCGTTGAAAAACATAAAAGTGTATGACCTATCCTATCGTCAATGGCTTGGACTCTTAAAAAGCGATTAGACTCACTCAAAACTACCCGTGGTCTTTGTTCGGTACCTTTTACTAAATTACTTCTTTGTTTTCGTATTTTTCGGCGAAGTTTTTTTTCTAAAATTTTCGTCATATACTTATTATTTATTTAAGGACTTTCCGGGCTTAAGTTTAATAGTTTTTTCTTCTCCAACGTAATAAATTCCTTTTGCCTTCTTATACACGCTCGGTAAACGCAGCGACTTAACATCACTAACTGCAAACTTCCTAACCTGTTGCTTATTTATTCCCTTAATTATTATTTTATTTCCTTCAGTCTTCACCTCGAGACCTTTCGGAATATCTAGAAGAATCGGATGAGATTTCCCCAACAGAAACTCTAACTTATTGCCTTTCAAGAACACTTTATAACCAATTCCTTTTACTTCTAAAATCTCTTGATATCCTTCTGTCACCCCTTTTATCGCATTGTAAATTAACGAGTTATGAGTTCCTGCTAGAGCAACATTTTCTGATTTTGTAGATATTTTATTTTCTTTATTAACTACTTCTAATCCGCTCGGTAAAAAAACTTCGCTTTTACCTAACGGACCTTCGACAGTAATTCCTTCTGCATGCAAAAGCACCTTCACATTTGGTGGTACTGGAATAATTCGATTAGCAATTTTTGACATAATAGTAACGTTAATTAACGGTGAGAATAAGTTTACCACCGGTGAACTTTTGTAAAGCTTCGCGATGAGTTAATAATCCGAGTGGAGTAGAAATAAGAAAAATGTTCTGACCACGACAATATTTTTTTATCTCTTTAGACTTTAGATAAATATGTCGAGAAGGACTAGAGATTTTTTTTATTTCATGAATACTGCTGTATTGGTTAGAATATTTAATTTTGACCTTGATGTTCTTATTTTTTTCATCAAATCAACAATCAGAAAGAAAATTACTTTCTTCTAATTTTTTACAAATTCTTCATTTAAAAGAAGAATAAGGAAAAACTACACTACGAAATGCTCGCATATTAGCATTACGAATAGTTGTTAGCATATTAGCTACTGGATCAGAAAACGTCATATTTATTATTTTACTAATTATTTACTAGACTGCAAGCATATCTATTCTTTATCAAGAGGATTTCTTAAAGCCAGCTAAACGTCCTTCATAAACTCACTCTCGAAAAGTAATCCGGCAAATTTTTCCACCATCGATGCTGAGAACAAACCTAGAACGTCCACACTCTAAACAACGACTATACTTTCTTGTTGAATATTTCGGAGGTTTTTTAGATTTAACAATTAATGCTTTTCTTGCCATATTAAATTATTCATCTATTCTTCTTTTGTACCTTTTTTTTCAATAGCATTTCGCCTAGAAAAAAGGTTTTTCGAGTTCTTTCTCACCTTTTGATGCTGCTCACTAATCTTTAAAACCAATAAAGACTGCTGTAAAAATTTTTCTTTTTCCTTTATTTCTGCTTCTAATTTTTGCCTTTTTCTCTTAATCTCTGCTAATTTATCACTAGGGCTACTTTCTTTCTTCGCCAAACCTAAATTTTGTGCTATTCTGCGGAAAAACCCTGCCTTTTTCTCAGCTGGCAAAGCATCAATATCTAACTCTAACTCTTTTTCCTTTTTTATTAAGTTATTAATTCTATTTCTCAAATTCCCTATCGCTAAATGAATTTGTGTAACCAATTTTTTTTTATTTTGAATTTTTTCCTCGTTTTTTTGTTCTTCTTTTTGGTGGAGACTTTGCCATTTTTTATACTCTTTACAATGACTTAACAAACATTCCTGTGAACAAAATCCTGCTCCTTCTACAATTTTAACCTCCAAAACTTCCTGTTCTTCTTTGGAAAATTGGTAAGGAATACTAGAAGTAATTTTGGTGTCACAGAAATAACAATAACCCTTTTTTGGACTTTTTTGTTGCAAAGGAGGAGCCACTGCAACGGTATCGTCTTCATTTTCTATTTGCCGAGTAATAATTTCCTTTTCTTTTCGCAAATCTTCCACTAAACCACTGTATTTTTGGATCACGGCATCTCTTTCCTCTTGAAGAATTTCTTCTTCCTCCGCAAAATCAACACTATTTAATTTATTATTCATAACTTCAATCTCCTCAATAATTCTTGTGACTTGGTTGAATAATCCTTCTCACATTCTATTTTTTTCCGCAGAACTAAGATTAGTTAGGGATAAAGAGTGAGTAGAGACATTTATACTCTTCGTTATTTCCATATATTCTCTTTCATACTTGGAAAATTTTTCCATTGATGATTGAATGATTGAATAGTTCATAGATTGTATATATTCTTATATTTTAACAGAGTTCATGCTTTATATCAAAAATTTTCTTAACAAAATGACCTTAAACTTTTTTAATTATTTGCAATATCCTTATTTTTTTCCACAAATTCTTCATTAGGATTTCAACTAGTTTCTTTTTGTAATCTGTGAAGCATTTCGCTAGTTGAACCAGTAATTTTCTTTGGTAATTTTACTTGCAATCAAATAAAAAAATCTCCTCGCACGTTACTATTTATTCCTAGATAACAACCGCGACCGCACAAAATCAGCCGATCTCCATTTTGAGTTCCTGGTATAATTTCTATTTTTTCTATCCCTTCAAGAGTGATTACTTTCAAATTCCCTCCTAAAATTGCATCTAAAAAAGAGATAGGCAAGTTAACATGTATATCATTGCCTTTGTGCTGAAAATAAGGATTATCTTTGACCTTTATATTAACATAAATGTCACCCTTTACTCCTCCATGCCAACCATCATTCCCCACTCCTTGGTAGCGGAGCCTTTTATCTGGTTGAATTCCGCGCGGAATGCTAAGTTCAACAATTTCTTTTTGCTTTGTGAATTTTTTACCTCCGCAATATCCGCATTTTTTTCTGATTTTTTGACCACTACCTTGACATTGTGAACAGGTAACTTGATTACGAATAGCTCCTAAAATAGTTCGTTGAATAGTATTGACTACCCCCCGTCCTCGACAAGTGGAACAATTAATAATATCCGATGGGGTTGCAGCCCCGGTTTGTCGACAAACATTACATGCTTTTTCTAAATCAATAGAGACTTTTTTCCTTACTCCTAATACTGATTCCTTAAAAGTTAAACTTAAATTAATTAAAACATCACTACCCGCTTGAGTTTTAGTTCGGTTTTCAAAATAATTTTCTTGCCCAGAATATTCTGTTCCTCTACCAAAAAAAGTATCAAAAATATCTTTAAAAATAGACTCCCCTTGACCAAATCCTCCCGCTGAAGCACTTTGTCCAAAAGAACTTTCGCTGCCATATTGATCATAGTTCCGGCGTTTTTCGGGATCACTTAAAACTTTGTAAGCCTGACCAACTTCTTTAAACTTTTCCTCTGCTTCGGCTTTTTTTTCGGAAGGATGACGATCAGGATGTCATTTCAAAGCTAATTTCCGATAGGCGTTTTTAATTTCTTCCTCCGAGGAATTTTCTGATACGCCCAAAACTTCATAATAACTTTTTTTTTTCATTATTCAATACTATGTCAAAAAGACTAAACATTTAGTTTCTGCAAAACAAAACTAGTGGTCAGAAAAAATAGTTGAAAGTCTCCAAGGGCTCTCCACTAGTTACTTTTTATCATCATCTTTCTTTTTTGGGTCAACATCCAAAATATCTTCTTCTTCGCCAGAAGCATAGCCCTCATCATCTTTTTTCTCTTCTTTAGGCATCTTTTGCATTAACTCGTTAGAAAGTTTCATAAGTTCATCAATTTTGTTCAATTGATTTTTTAACTCGGGATAATTTTTTTCTTCAGTTAACTTTTTTAAATCTTCATATAACCTCTTGAACTCTTGAAACTGAGGATCATCTTCCTTGAAATTTTTGTGAGATTTAAACTCTTCAATTTGTTTTTCAAAAGTGTAACAATAAGTTTGAGCTTGATTCAATGTTTTCAAATTATCTTTCAGCTCTTCATCTTTAGCCCGATTTTCTTCAGCTTCCTTTATCATTCTTTCGATCTCCTCCTTGCTGACACCACCACTATCCTTAATAGTAATGTTCGCCTCTTTGTTAGTTTTTTTATCTTTAGCCGAAACCTTAACTATACCATTAGCATCAATGTCAAATTTTACTTCGATTTGGGGAACTCCTCGGGGAGCGGGATCAATTCCGGTTAGTTCAAAGTTTCCTAACAGTTTATTATCCGAAGCCTTTGCTCTTTCTCCTTGGTAAACACGGATAAAAACACTAGGTTGATTATCAGTAGCGGTCGAAAAAGTTTCACTTGCACTAGTTGGAATTGTCGTATTACGACGAATAATAGGATGCATCATTCCCCCTTCTATTTCAATTCCTAGAGAAAGAGGAGCAACATCTAGCATAATAATATCTTCAATATCCCCTGCTAGCACTGAACCTTGAATAGCTGCCCCTAAAGCTACTGCTTCATCAGGATTAACTGACTTGTTTGGCATCTTACCAAAAATCTCTTTCACTTTCTCCTGAACCGCTGGCATGCGGGTCATTCCCCCTACTAAAATAACTTCATCAATTTTGGAAACACCAGAATCCTTGAGACAATTTTTACAAGGTGCGACTAACTTCTCCAAAAGATCCCTAGTAAGTTCTTTCAATAACTGACGCGTAATTTCTTTATCAAGATGTTTCGGACCTGAAGCATCAGCCGAGATAAAAGGAAGTTTAATATTTGCAATCTCCGAAGAAGAAAGCTCGTGCTTAGCATTTTCAGCCGCTTCTTTGAGACGCTGCAAAGCCATTTTATCCTTACTCAAGTCAATCCCTTCATCTTTTTTGAATTCAGTCACTATTCAATTAACAATCTTTTGATCGAAATTAGCACCCCCTAAATAAGTATCTCCGGCGGTTGCCTTTACTTCAAACAATCCTTCATTAATTTCAATAATCGAAATATCAAATGTTCCTCCTCCAAGGTCAAAAACTACCACAGTATGAAGTTTTGCCTTTTTGTCAACCCCATAAGCTAGAGCCGCGGCAGTTGGTTCATTAATAATCCTAATCATTTTACGCGACTCTTCTAAGTCCTTAGGATTGCCAAATCCCGCGATAACCGCCGCACTAATTGTGGCTTGCCGCTGTGCATCATTAAAATAAGCTGGCACAGTAATTACTGCATTTCTAACAGACCTTCCCAGGTGATCTTCAGTGATCTGTTTCATTTTTTGGAGAATAAAAGCTGAAACTTGTTGCGGAGAATATTCCTTTTCTCCTACTTTAACCCACGCATCGCCGTTTTTTCCAGGGATAATCTTAAAAGGAGCAATTTTGCGAAACTCTTGCACTTCTGGAGAGTCAAATCTTCTTCCTATCAACCGCTTCACTTCGAAAACCACTAATTCAGGTTTGAGCGTTGCCTCCTTTTTAGCATCTTTTCCGACCGTCACTACCTTTCCCTCTTTATCAAAAAGAACCACAGAGGGGGTGGTATTATTTCCTTTATCATTAACAACTACTTTATACTTTTCACCCTCGCGAATGAAAACGCAAGAGTTGGTTGTTCCTAAATCACAACCCATAATTTTTTTGCTTATTGTTTTTTCTTTTGTACTTTCACTCATGCTAATATTAATATTTTTTTTAATTTTATACTTATTTATTTTTTTCGCTTCTCCTTTTGCTAACTTTTACTTCGGCAGGGCGAAGAACTTTTTTTTGGTAAAGATATCCTTTTTTAAGCACCTCTAAAATCGTTCCTTCGGCATAATCATTACTTTCTTCCACTTGTTGCGGGTTATGCAATTCACGATTATAAGTATCTTTTTTAGGAGTAATTTTTATTTCTTCTATTCCTTCTCTTTCAAAAAAAACATTTTGAGACTCAGCAAACGTCATTTGAAATCCAACTAAAAATTGTTTAATTTTTGGATCCTGATAAGTTTGACTAATTTTAATAGCCCTATCATAACTGTCAAATAATGGCAAGACCTTTTCTATTAATTCCTTGCTAACATTGTACTTTAACATTTTAGTCATTTTTTCCATTTCCTGGAAAAAACCTTTTTTTTGATTTTCTAAGTCAGCCAACAAACGAAGATTTTTGTCCTTTAAAACCTCGATTTCCTTTTTAAGATCAGTAGTTTCTAAAGGCTTTTGTTCAGTAACCTTTTGGCTATCTTCTTTCTCAATTATATCTTGCTTTTTTTCCTCAGTTTGTTGTGTCAATTTTTCCGAATCCTTTCGCGTTTTTTCTGAATTATTAAGTTTGCTTTCTGTTTTTTTATTCATACTTCTTATAGTTTCAATTTTTCATATTTTTGCCTCAAATTTACTTTAACAAATTTTTCTTCTGTTCTAACAAAGATAAAACAGTTATTTTAATTTCATTAGTATCTTTTTCAATATCTAAAAGAAAGTGACCACCCGGTCGGAGAAATTGGGAAATAATTTGCTGTGCCACCAACGTGCCAATTTCCCTTTCAACATAATGCTTAATAGGTCGTGCTCCGTATTCTTCTGAGTAAGCTTGATGAAAGATTTTTTCCACAATTTCTTCTTTATATTTTAATTTAATGCTTTTTTCTTGGGCAACCCGTCGAATAAATAATTCTAATTCCTTAACAATAATCTCTCGTACAACCTCCTTAGTTAAAAGGTTAAAAAATACCACTTCATCTAGCCGATTTAGAAATTCCGGGCTGAAATGTTCCTTCAATCTAAATTCTAACTCTTCTTTTAGTTCTCTTTGATTTCTTTTAGAAAAATATAGATCTGAACCTATATTAGTAGTCAGAACAATAATGGTGTTACGAAAATTAACTTCTTGACCATTAGCTAAAGTAAGAAAACCATTATCTAGTATTTGCAAAAGTATATTTAATATTTCTGGATGACACTTTTCTATTTCATCAAAGAGTAAAACACTGTTCATTTTTTCCCGAACAACTTCTAAACGTGGTTTGCCTTCAAATCCAATATAACCTGGTGGCGAACCAATCAATTTACTAACCGAATGAGGTTCCGAAAATTCAGTCATATCTAAGCGAATGAGGTTTTTTTTTTGGTCAAAAAGTTGTTCCGCAATAGTCAAGGCTACTTCAGTTTTCCCTACCCCTGTTGGCCCTACAAACAAAAAAGAAGCTAGGGGGCGATTAGGATCTTGTATCCCCGCTCGTGCCCGAAAAATAGCATTAGTAACTGCTCTTAAAGCTTGGCTTTGGCCCTTTACCCGCGCTTGCAGAATCACCGGCAAAAGAAATAATTTTTGTTGTTCATCAACCAGTACTTTTCCCACGGGTAAATCACACTTCTTAGCAATGGTTGAAGCAACGTCTTCTTCATTAACAAAATGCCTTTTAAAAGTATTTGTGCTAGCCTCTGCTTCTAATCTATCCACCTTACTTTTTAATATTGGAATAATAGAATATTTGAATTCGGCTGCCTTAGTTAAGTCGATCTCTTTTTGTTGATAATTAATTAATGATTTTTCTGCTTGGAGCATTTCTCTCTTAGCCTTGTTCAGTTCTTGAATAATTCTATTTTCTTTTTCGTCTTGCTCTACTAGTTTTTTTAGTTTTTCTCGGCACTCAGAGATTTTCTGACGAATAATAAGCAACTCAACTTGCTTTTCTTGTTCTTTGGATATTGAAACCTCTTTCACCTCTAATTCACTTAATTTATCACGCGTCCTAGTAATCATCTCAGGCTCATACCACATTTCTCCCCTTATCCTGCCGCAGGTTTCATCCAATAAATCAATCGCTTTATCAGGAAGGTACTTAGTAGTTAGGTAACGCTGAGAAAATTTCACTGCGGAAAATAAAGCGTCATCAAGAATTTTCAACTCATAATAAATTTCCAAAAAACTACGAATGCCATGCAAAATCATGAGTGCATCGTTAAAACTCGGTTCAGAAACAGGTATGTTACTAAAACGACGTGTCAAAGCTTCATCTTTTTCTAGATATTGGCGATACTCAATTTGAGTAGTTGCTCCAATGCACTGAATTTCACCCCGAGAAAGTAACGGCTTTAATAAATTGGAAAGATCTAGAGCACCTTGGTTACGACCAGCTCCCACAATCAAATGAATTTCATCAATAAAGAGAATTGCATTATTTTCTGGTTGACTCATAAAGTTAAAAATAATTTTCAACCGCTCTTCTAATTCGCCTTGAAACTTAGTTCCGGCCATTAAAGACATCATATCCAGTTGGTAGATTGTTTTGCCTTTTAAATAATCAGGAACTTTTCCTTGCTTGATTTTTTGCACTAAGCCTTCTACTATTGCTGTTTTACCTACCCCTGGATAACCAATTAACAAAGGATTGTTTTTCAGCATCCGAGACAAAATGTAAACCAACTGCTTAATCTCTTTTTCTCGACCAATAATGGCTAATTCGTTAACTTTTTCTTTCTGATTGAGGTTTTCGGTAAATTTTGCAATAATTTCTTTTTCCCGATTCATATATAAGTAAAACTTATCGACTTAGTCAATGAAAGACTAATCCAACTACTAATATTCCTAAAACAATAGCTAAAAAAATTAAGGTTCAGAAACGGCGATTCGCTTCTCTTTTTCGATCACAATTAATGCATAATCAATAAGTTTTTCCTGCACTTTGTCAACGACCTACTCCTCCTCCTCAACCGCTTTTGTGACCATAACCTCCGCCCCCGAGATTACCACTGCCTTCTTTTTGTTTAATGGCTTCGCCTTGCGAAACCATTTGTCCACAATCATAACACTTTACTTGGATTATTTGCATGATGTATTATTTATTTATTATATTTAAAATTAAAATATAGTTATTTTTTTAACTTACTTTAAGTAAAACCTTAATTTCTTTTTAAAATGGGGCGAATAGTGAGAATTGAACTCACGAATGCTAGTTCCACAAACTAGTGCGTTAACCACTTCGCCATATTCGCCATTAATGGAGCGAGTAACGGGAATCGAACCCGCATCCTCAGACTGGCAGTCTAATATTCTAGCCGTTGAACTATACTCGCAATTAATATTAATAAATTTTAATCCTTGGACTACTTTAATTATCAACAAATTTTCTCTTTTTTCATTAGTAAAATATGTTTTTGTTTTTTTGCTTGGAACAATGCTTAAAAGCTTATCTATTTCTAATCTTCATTAACTTTATATTTTGATTAATCAACCCAAGATAATATTCTTTTTACTCTTAACTTTTTTTCGATTGGGGCAAAATTATTAGTTTGTTATCAGTTTCTTTCATTCTTGGTAAAGGCTTAATATTGACGTTTTTGTAGAACAAATATTAACCATCCTTGAACTTTAAGTTAGAGAAAAAAGATTTAGGTAAAACTGTATATTATCAACACATTAACAAAATTTGGTGATTTTGTTTGAAAAGTTGGTGAAAAATATGGAAAATAAACTGACTGAAAACAAAGAATTAAGAGAAAAGATTATCAATTATTTAGAAAAGGTAGAAAAAAATCAACTTGTCCGAAAGTTAGGAGCCAAAACTAAAAGTTTGTTACTGGCTGCTAAACAAGAATACGATGAAGTAAATAAGGTTCAAAAAGACTATCAAGAATTGATTTTAGAATTAAATGAGGAAGAAAAAAAAGAGCTCTTTACCGAAATTAAAAGTTTAGAGTTAAAAAAAACCAAAATAATTGAAAAAATTAAAGAAAAAATAATTGAAGAAGAAAATATTAGCCAAAATATCACTGTGGAAATCCGACCCGGACCAGGAGGAGAAGAGGCTGGTTTATTTGTAAACGACTTATATGGTATGTATGCTAAATTTGCGGGGAAAAAAGGTTGAAAAGTCGAAATGATAGAAAGCAGAGTAGGTTATAAAGGTAATTTTTCGTCGGTTTCTTTCTTAATCAAGGGCAAGGGGGTTTTTAACTGTTTAAAAAATGAAGCAGGGGTACACCGCGTTCAAAGAGTTCCGCTCACTGCCAAAAGGGGAGAAATACATACCTCTACTGCTACCGTAGTGATTTTGCCAGAACCCCAAGAAATCGCCGTCAAACTTAATCCCCAAAATTTAAAAATTGATACTTATCGTTCGAGCGGAGCCGGCGGTCAACACGTTAACACCACTGATTCAGCGGTAAGGTTAACTTATACTTATTCCACTAATGGTAAAATTGAAACTGTTATAGCTACTTCCCAAGATGGACGAAGCCAGCATGATAACCGCGAAAAAGCTTTGACGGTTCTGAAAAGTCGTTTATGGGAAAAATTACAATCCGAACAGGAAAAAAAATTAGGCAACTTACGTTCCTCCATGATTGGCACGGCTGAACGTTCCGAAAACTTTCGCACTTACAACTTTCCGGATGACCGAGTGACAGACAAGCGGCTGAAAATAAAATTACATAACCTCGATAGTATCATGGAAGGAGATTTAGAGGAAATCTGTCAAAAATCAATTGATTACGAAGTAGCAAAAAAAATAACCAGTGAATTAGAAAATCAGAAAACCAATGACCACAATAACGCTTAACCAAAAAAGAAATTCTTCTTTTCTTTCCTCTTTATTATTCTTTCTCGGCATAACCGGTTTGATAATTACATTTTTTTTCCTTGGAAAAAGGCATTATCAGCAAAGTGAAAATGAAGCACCGAAATATAAAGCGGAGGAGGAATTTTTTGAACTTTTACCTGAGGAGGTTTTGCCACCAGAGAAGCCCAAAGAGGAAAACGATTTAAGAAAACTTGAGGGTTGAGAAATTAATGAAAGAATAAGCGAACAAAATAAATGAAAAAAGAATGTTCTCCCTCGCTTACTCGAAGACAAAAAAATTGAAGAAGAAATTAATAAATTTTTAAAACATTTTTATCACAATTTTCTTGAAAAAGGAACAAACAAGTACAAAGAAAGATTAAAAAGAGAAATTAAAGTAATTAGACCAAAAAAAGTTGATGGGCGCGTTACTAATGAAGCAACTTTAAATAGCGACATCAAAAAATGCAAAGAAATCTTTCCGGAAACAAGAGAAGCGGGAATTGATTTTGAGGGTTTTGCTGGTTGGTTAACTGAAAGTGAAAAGGGAGAAAAAGAAAATAGTGATAAAGTTACTATGGGTCGGTGTGATACCGAAGGAAATAGTATAGTACAACGGCTAAGAAGTACTGATCTTTGAGGAAATTTGAAAGAGAATGTTTGTTACTGAACTAAACGCCGCATAACTATTAAGTTAAAACCGGAACTTTTTTTTCTTCGTTATAATTACAATTCTTGAGTTACCAAAGATGCGAAAACAGGAGGACATAATCAACTTAGGATTGGGTGAAATCAATTAACTAAAACAATTGCTCACGAGTTAGCTCACGCCGTGGTCAATACTATATTAATCAGTAGTAAATCTGCTAGACTTGATGAGGGAGGACATGGAAACTTGCACGATGAATTTACTGAAGAGATCGACAAGATGATAAAAAAAGAACATGCTTTTTCTACAGATTTTCGTGATTATATGGAAAGTTTTTAAACTACTTGTGTGTGTTTTGATAAGGGTTGAGTTTTAGCTCTGTTATTTCTTCACAAATTTTGCCATAATTATTGATCTGACCCCAACCATAGCATAAACAGAATCTAAATCCTTTTCCTTTTTAACTAAACAAATGCTGTTTTTAGGATGCCACTTGCCTAATGTAATGCTATATTTTACAAGTAAAATTATGAGATTTTGTTTATTTCTTCATAATTTCTGACATTTATTTTGCTAATCTTGAAAAAACTATGACTGATTATTGTGTAAAATATTCATAATAGAAAATATGGTAAACCTTGATAGAAATCAATTAATCGAAGCTGGAGTTCAGTTTGGTAACCTTGCCCGCAAGTGGAATCCGCAAATGCGACCCTACATTTATAAAAAAAATAGTCGAACACACGTAATCGATTTACAAAAGATTATTGTTAGTTGCCAAGAGTTGGAAAAATATGTAGAATCGCTAATTGATAAAGGAAAAGTAATTTTATTTTTGTCTACCAAAAAGCAAGTGGCGGGAATTGTTAAAGAACAAGCCATCCGGTGTGGAATGCCATACATCGTGAATAAATGAAAAGGAGGATTTTTAACTAATTTTGAGGAAATAAAAAAGAAATTAAAAGAATTGCAAGGACTAAATGGTTTTCTTCAAAAAAGCACTTTTAAAAATTTGATAAAAAAAGAGCAAGTGCTTTTGGAAAAAAGAAGAAATAAGTTACACGGCATTTATGAAGGAGTGATTAATTTACAAAGAAAACCTAACTCTCTGTTTATTATTGGCCTTGACAAAGAAAAAACTGCCTTTCGAGAAGCGAAAAAAACTGATACTCCAGTTATTGCAGTTTGTAATACTAACTGTGATCCTCGTTTAGTTGACTATGTTATCCCCGGTAATGATCGCGATGAGAAGTCAATCAGTCTTTTTGCTAATCTAGTAGCTGATGCTATAATCAAAGTTAAGGGAAAAAATGAAGTCAGAAACGACATTGAAAAGGAAGAAAGAAAAGATAAAAAATGAACTTAATTTTTTAATGATGCTCGTCACAAAATTCGTGGATAGCAATGTTCCTTTAAGTTAATAGTTAACGATAATCACATTCACCTTTTTTGCCCGCGAATGATAAAAATCGCAGTTTGGTTCAATTAATAGTAAAAATTTCTTATCAGTCGACAATGAAGAAAAGCAAATAAAAATATTAAAAAATGGAAAAAGAGGAATTGGAAAAATTGGCTAAAAAAGTTCAATTAGAAATTAAAGAAGAAGAAATAACTAAATATTTAAAAGAATTTAAACAACTAGAAAAACCTTTACTCAACTTCAAAAAAACCAAAATAAGCCCAAGAATAAAACCGATGGTTAGAATTGATGTAGGACACTTAACTCTTACAGAATTAAAAAAAATAAAAAAATCTTTTTCCAGTCCTCTTATTAGTAAAAAAAACCTTAAAGATAATAGTATTATTACCACTAAGGACAATTTGGTACTATTCAAGAAAATTAGTTAGATAGATTTTTTTTATTTTTTAGTTTAATAATAAAGGTTACTAAGCAAAAACCTAGACCAATTATTGCTGCCACTATTTTTCAATGGGTAAAAAACCGCCCGTTTGAATTCGGTCCGCTTTCTTCCTTTTTATATTTCTTAGCATGACTAACAGCATCGTTTATCTCTTCTTCCATTTTTTTGGCAACGGCACTAACTTCACTTTTATTATTTAAACCCTTTAAATCTTCCTTTCAGGTAGGGAGAATAATTTCACTCAAATTAACTTCTTGATTATTCTCCAACAAATTTTGTAACTTGTTAATTTTTCCTTCTATAAACTCTTCCAAATTCTTTTCTCGATCTTGTCTAATATTGTCTCGGGCTAATTTTATCTCAGAAAAAGTTTTGCCATTATCAATTTTTTGATATTCATTATCTCATTCTTCAGCACCAAGTTGATTTTTAACATCTTTTTTGAATTTTTCTATAACGTGTTGAAACGCCTGCCCTTGCCTGTTTTCAATTTCACTTTCGCTGCGTAATTTTTTTATATCTTCCTTGAAGTTACGAAAAGGACAGGTATCTGACAAAACTAAATTTTCTCCCTCTTTTAACCAACTATCAAAAATACGAATAGCATTATCTCAGGAATGATTAAGCCTAGCTTCCTCGCTCAAATTATTTCACCGCTTTTGAAGCCTATTTAATAAAGAATCTACTTGATTTTTCTGACTATAATAAGCACTCTTTTCATATTGAGAAGCATGAACCGAAGCAACGTTTTCTAAATTCCGAATAAAACTCAATAATTCATTGTTAGCACAGGAAGCTCCTTTAGCAAGAAAATCAAGAAGTTTCTTTTCTTCTCGCTTGTTCTTAATCGCTTCAATAATTTTACTTTTAACTTTTCTCAACTCCGGCGTTTTTAGGCTTGCAAAATTATGGTAAGTCGTTGGTAATTCTTTCAAATCTACTTGCGGGGAAAAATAACCCAATTCTGTGTTTACTTCTTTAATAATTTCTTGTTTCTCTCGTGCTTCTAGTTTTTTTTTTTTTTTTTTTAGCTAAGGAAAGCAAAATTTGCCTTTCTTTATTACTAAGAAGAACTAAACCTTTTGCCAAACCACTTTCTGAATAAATTTCGCTTCACTGTTTCTTTTCATCACTTTCTAAGGGAAGAGCATTAGTATAAGTTATAGCCTTATTAATAAATTCCTCTTCTTTTATCTCTTCCCTGATTAACTTTAATTTTAAGTTATTAATGGTGGTTCCTCTAATAATATTATAAAAGGGAGCAAAACTATTTTCTATTTCAGTATCTATTTCAAGATTTAATCTAGTAATTTCTACTATTAATTTTGCTTTTTCTGCTTGTTTTGTTTCCTCTGCTTCTTCATATTCCTTATCAGCTTTGTTTTTGCAATCGGACGAACAAACACTTTCTTCTCCAAGTTCAGGTATTAACTTGATGTCTTTAATTTTTTCATCTGATGAATGATTTTGATATTTCCATTTCAGATTTTCATAACCACAGACCCAGCAGCCATGTTCTTGGCAATAACTTTTTTCTCAAATTCCCTTTTTTGTCTTCTTTTCCTTCTCGCAACGTATGCGGGCTACTTTTCATGGAAGTATAGAATCAGCTTTTCCATAATAACATTTATCTATTAAGTCTACCATAATTCATAATTTAAATCGGTGAATTTATTGAACAATATGCTTTAACTATTATATATATTATTTTACCACATTTACGCATATGCTAACGGATACACTTTAAGAAATATTAAGCATGAACTATTTTAGAACTTAGTTTATTAATGCTTGACTTATAAGGCAAGGAGTTATTTGTTTTTTTTTTTTTTTTTTTTTTTGAGTTTATTTTCTAATTCTTTAATTCTTTTTTGTTGAAGCGAATTTTCTTGAACTAAGTCTAACATAAGCTGCCGTCAGATTTCTAAGTAATTACCTAAATTGCCCACATCAAGATTAATTCCTCTTTTTCTTAGTATGTCATGAAGTTTGCTTTCTTCTAATTCCTTTTGTTGGGTTTTAGTTAGCAGTGATGAAACTTTACCACCAAAATAAGCTCGGAAAGTGCGTCTTTTTTTACTATCAGTAATGGAATCTAAATAAACTAGTTTGTGATGGCGATACAGTTTAATTAAACAAGCATCGCACCTATATTTACCTTCATTTTCATTTTTACCCGTTCAATAGCCTCAGTTATTTTTATTGCTATATTTTTGGCTAGGAGGACAAAAATTAACTATCATCTTTTTTTGACATTGAAAACAATTAACTTTTAAAGGTGGTTTTAGGGTATACATATGAATACATTCAAATAATAGAATGGGACAATGAATTTTAATGAAGTATTGGATAAGGAAAACAAACCCAGCAATAAAATTAAATATATCGCTTTTAATTTGCATGACTAGAAAAAAACAAAATTGCCATTATGAATTACTTTGTCTCTTAAATGAGAAAGAAAAAAACCAAGCAAAACATAAACAGATGCTCGAAAGTATCGAAAAGGTACTTGGGAAAGATAATCTAGAAAAAGTTGAGGAAAAAAAATGAAAACCTGTTTATCAGATTAACCAAATAGTAACTGCTACCTATCTGCTGATTTATTTCAAAGCAGAAAGAGAAAAAATTCAAGAATTAAAAAAAGATATTTTGCAAACTATCCCGAAAAATTTCCTTAACCGTTACTTATTAATTAACCTAACTGACGAGTCAAAACTTAAAATTAATAAATATAAAAAAGATGCTGAACAAAATTAAAATAGTTGGTAAGATTTTATCGGTTGAGGTAAAAGCTAAAGAAGAAGAGGAAAAAAATGAATTCATATTCTATTTCAGTTTATTGGTTCCTAGTCCGAGCGGTTCTCTAACTGTTCTTCGTTGTGCGGCTCAAAAAGAAACTGCCCAAAAAATTAAAGCAGAAGTTAACGGAGAAGAAATAGTAGAAGTACAAGGCTATTTGCAAAATGAAAAAAGCGGTCGACAGATAATAATAAGGGTACAAAAGTTTGAAAAGTTAAATTTAAACTTTGAAGACATTGATAGCAAAAATTCCAATCAAGCACAACTACAAGGAAGAATAGTTGGTCTTAAATTTCAACCAAACAACGATGAACCTGAAACATTAAGTTTTCAAATGGTGGTTCCCCGGAGAAAAAATTTGTTTTCTGGTTTTTTTTGCCGAGTTCAAGGAGAATTAATTTCAAAACTTAAATCACATTTAAAAGAAGGCCGTGAGGCACTGGTAGAAGGGTTTCTACAAACCAAAAAAATGGTTGGGAAAGATAATGAAAATGAAACTAAAATTTCACGTTTTTCTCATATAATTTGCTGCGCCTTTACTTTTGCTGACGACGATTCTCCCATTGATCTTAATAATCCCGACAAACTAACTAAAATTACTGGTAGAGTTAAAAAAATTGATTTTAGTAAGCCCAAGGAAAAAGAAAGAGAAGAATAAAATGGTTAAAAATAATTCAAAGAGCCATAAGGTTAAGAAAAAAAAAATTGGTCCCAATACTGACTATTTTTTAAGTGAAGGTATTGATTGTATTGATTACAAAAACACCGATGTATTACGCAGATTTATTAACAACCAGGGGAGAATTGTTGGTCGGTTATATTCTCGATTAACTGCTAAAACCCAACGGAAAGTAACTAGAGCTATTAAAAGAGCTCGACAAATGGCTTTACTTCCTTATACAATAGTCGAACAAAAATAATAATGACAAAGACAAAATAAAAAAAGCAATTGAATTTAGGAAAAATGGCAAAAAAAGAAAAAGTTATTCTAATAGAGAATGGCGAACTAGGAAAAAATTTTAAAGTAACTGAAGCGAGGAGAGGATTTGTTGCTAATTATTTATTGCCCGCGAAAAAGATAATGCTCTATAATAAAAGAAACCTCTTATGAATCGAAAAACAAAAAATTCAACAAGAGCAAAAGAAAGTTCTAGCGGAAGAAAAAGCACAAGAATTATACAAAAGAGTCAATAATTTTACTCTTAATTTCACTTTAAAAAAAAATGAAAAAGGAGAACCTTTTGGTTCAGTTGGTTTTAAGGAAATTTCGCAAGAATTAGAAAAAGTAGGAATTCACTTGGAAAAAAGTCACTTAGTAGATTTTCACTCTTTGAACAAGTTGGGTGAAAACGGATTACAAGTAAAGTTGAGTAGTAATTTAGTTGCTAACTTGAAAATAGTACTAAATTAAATAATTAAATTAATTAATAAATGATATGGTAGAAATTAAACAACAAGAAATAATTACTCTACGGGGCAAACTAAAAATGGGAATCATTTCAGGAACTAGCATCAACGGAGACGATTTTTATCGTGTTCCTTTGCAAGTTATCGAAACAGAAAAAAACGGGCAAAAAATCGACAACCAGTTTGAATCAATTATGCTAATTTTCTGAAAGAAGAATTTTGATAGCAGAAGTCAATCGGTTATTAACAATTTAAAAGAAAATCAAAACATTACTGTTCATGGTAATGTGGGTGGACGAGATAACGGACTATTAAGGGTAGTCGAATTCGAAACAGGGGACGGTGAAGAAGATATGTTTATTTAAAGTCTTCATATTCTTTTCTTAGTAATAAAACTTTGCTTTTTTTCATGTTTTTTTAAAATTTATTGATATGGAGCATAGAAAAATAATTAACTACATTAAGATTAGAGAACAATGAAAAGATGCAATAGGTGCTAAAAACAGAGCTTTAATTTCTATTCGAAACGGGTTATTTGAATTTGGTCAGTTTGTTGCTTATTATATCGCAGAAAACCATTTTTTCTCCAAAGAAATCGCCGAACTTTATGCACATAATTCTAGTTACAAATACTTTTTCTATCTCTCACTTTTTTTTGGTTGCTGAGGAATAATCAACAGCTTACTAGGTATCTACAACTATTTTGAAAATAGTGAGCAAGTTGAACAACTCGAACAGCAAATTGAGCAAATTGAAAAGGACATTATAAGTTAGATAGAATTATCTTTTCTGTAAAAATTGGTTTATTTTTATTAGTGAAATTTAATTTTTCTTCCTAATAATTCAGCAATTTCTAGCAATTCCCGGTCATCTCCATAAGCAGCATTTACATTCATACTAACTGGCAACCCTTTAACAACTCCAATTGGTAGACTTAGGGAAGGAATACCCGCAAAGTTAGCCAAGAGCAATAAATTATCGCTCCAATGGATTATCTGGCTTCCCGCAAAAGCAGAGGAAATTTCATTAATTTTTGGAGCTGAACTATTCATACTAGAAAAAAGCAAAAATCTATATTTAGTAAAGATTTCTTTTACCCATTGATTAGTTCATGCCTGAAATTTTCGTGCTTTTTCTAAATACTCTAAGTTTTCTAGAAAATAAGCTCCTATTAATAAACGTTTTTTTACTTCTTGCCCTAGGAAATTATTTCTTTTTTCAAAAATAGAATTATTTTCTTTGGTGCCATAAGTTACTCCTTGCAAAGAATTTAAATGGCTTAACAATTCACTACAAGAAATAATTAAGTAAGTAATTTGTAAATTTTCTTTTAATTCCTTAGGTAATTCTACCTCTTCAACTCTATATCCCTCTTTTTCTAAAACATTTATAGTTTGGTGATATAATTTTTTGAAGTTTTTTTCTAAATGCTCTTCCAGGCCTTGAATAATAGCAATTTTTTTAGTTTTCTTTAGAAATTTAACTTTCTTTTTTTTCGTAAGTGTTAATAAGTCCCGAGAGTCCTTCTGATTAAGCACCGAAAAAACTTTTTTTACCGTTTCTACCCGGGAAGCCAAAATGCCAATGGTATCAAGGGAAGAAACAAAAGGAATTAAACCATAACGAGAAATTAAACCATACGAAGGTTTAAAGCCCACTATCCCGCAATAAGCCGCTGGACAACGTACAGAACCACCGGTATCACTCCCTAATGCAAAAGGAACTAAGTTCTGAGCTACAGCGACTGCAGAACCTGAAGAAGAACCCCCCACGATGTGCTGAGAATTATAAGGATTAGTCAAAGCACCCTTGTTCGCTAACAAACCAGAACCTCCACAAGCAAACTCATCCAAATCAGCTTTTCCCAAACAAATATATCCTTTTTTTTTTAATAATTTAACCGCGGTAGCATCTTCATTCGGCTGAAATCCGCTTAAAAAATTAGAAGAAGCGGTAGTAAAAAAATTTTTAGTTCAAAAATTATCCTTAGCAAAGTACATTGATCCTTTTTTGGCAGAAAATTCAGTATTTTTACAAGTGACAACGCTTCTGTTATCTTCTTTTTTTTTACCTTTTTTCAACATTACTTTACTAATTTTTATTAATCAAAAATCTCTCTCGCCCTCATAAACCAATTAATTTTCTTAACTAGTTTTTGCAACTTTCGTATTCCTCTACTTTCGTCGCACTTTTTTAATTATTAATGCCATAATTTAATTGTATAATAAAGTTTTATTATATATACTAGCCACAAAAAACATTATTCAAGGAGAGAACGCAACTTTCTTTCTTCAGTTAACTCTTGTAATCTCTTAAAACTTTCTTTCTTTAATTTTCGAAGTAAGTTCTCTGACTTGTTAAGCACTCCAGTTAGTTCAGAAAATTTGTAATCTTTAGTAAACATTGTTAAATATTTTTTGACGATAGGCAGATTACTAATTGCTTTTTCTTGCAAGGAATAACCCGCTAGTACATTTAAGTCTTTTTTTCGACCCATTTTAACAGATTTTTTTAGTTCTTCTTGCTCGCTTTTTTCCGCAATATAGTATATATCTAATAAATTAGTAGGAACAATTTTGTGTGACAGTCTAATCAGTAAAATTTTCTCCTTATCTTCTAATAAATTAATGAGGCTATTTACTTGAATGGAAGTGTCCCTTTGTCGGATTTGTTCATTGTCAACTTTTAAATTCTCACTATCATCCAGTGTGTCAATCAAGGAATAAGACTTATTTTGTTCATCTTGATTTTGATAACTACTATCATAAAAAACTACATCTTTTTTATGTTTATTTGCTAGACTTTGATTAATGAATTGATTTTTGTTAATAAAAGTTTGAATGGTTTGCATAATTCAGTAACCAGCATAGGTGTCAAAGAGAAATTTGCTGTTAAGGTCAAATTTCTCAATAGCTTTTAGTAGGGAAATAGTTCCTTCAGCTACTAAATCTTCATAATCGATTTGCCCGGAGTAAAAAGAAAATGAATAACGTCTTACCATATATTTAATTAAGTTTTGATTATAGTAGATAAGTTTACTTATCGCCTCTGATGACTGAGCAGGTACTTTCTTTCCTTCGCTATGTAACTTTAAGCCTTTTTTACCCAGCACTAATAATCTTCTTTCTTCTTCACGACTGAGTTTTTTTAGTTTTTTTTTAGGTTCGGGAGTAATATTTTTGTTCATAGATTAATAAAAATTTTTTGACATGATCTATTTCTTGGAAAATCTTTTCGATTGCTTCACTTGGCTCAAGTATCTTCTGGTCTTTTTTCAGTGAAACATTATAATTGTCTAGTTGGTTGGGGAAAAAGTTGCTACAAGAATCTAAACTGTAATAATTATAAATATTTCGATAGTCTCTACGATTACTTTTATGGAAAAAAAAATAGTTTTTTTTGGCGGTAATTACCCAATGGGCTCGACTTTGAATACAAAGTTGGATGATTATTATTTCCTTTTGTTGAATTGTTTCCTGACAATAGATAATTTGCAAATAACGAAAATTAGGAAAAGGAAAGTGCCGCTTGATAAAGTAAGATTCTATTTCTTCCTTATTTCATTTTACTAGCAAACTTATTTTTTCAATTAGGAAATCTCGAATATTTAACCTAAAATTTTGGAAAACTTTGGCTACTTCCCGAACGAAATGACTAACTCTTTGCGGATTCTCTGCCACTTCTCACTTAGAAAAATAATAGTCAAGAATAAACAAATAGGGATTTTCTCTTTTTTTAAGAAAACTTTGTATATATTCCTTATTATGCTGGCGACAAATTTCGTCCGGATCTTCTTCATAATTGCCTTTTATAGTTTCGCAGTCAATTTCTCGCAGCAATAATTTCACTAAAGCACTAATAGTAGCTTCTTTTCCAGCCTTATCGCCATCCAAGAAAAGAATAATTTTTTTTTGTAAATCTGCCAAGAGTTTAATTTGTTCTTCTGATAAATTAGTTCCGAGCATAGCCGCACAATTTTCTATGCCTAACCCGGTCAAGCTAATTACATCAAAAAATCCCTCAACTAAATATATTTCCTCTTCGCGGCTCTTTTTAACCGTGGAATAATTGTAGAGCAAAGAAGATTTATGATAATGCTGATGACTTGGTAAGTATTTATATTTTCCTTCGCTGACTTCACTTTCTTCAATTTTCCGACCGGCAAAGGCAATAATTTTGCCTTCTTCATTCGCCAATGGAATGATTAACTGATTTTCAAGAAAAAAATCGCTAGTTCGATTATCACTCGTTATTCAAATAAGATTGGTCGCTAACAAATCAGTGGAGGAAAAATTATCATTTTTTTGTTGAAAAAGTAAATTAGTTAACTGTTTACCACTGATAGTGCACCCAAGAGAAAAACGAGTAACCATTAAATGATCTAAGCGACGCTTTTTTTGAAGGTAGTTAAGTACTTCTTGACCGGGAATGGTAAATAAATTGTGTTGATAGATATCAGTTACTAATGAATTTAGATAAAAGACTCTGTTTTTGCCTTTCTGCTCTTGTTTTTTTTTCTCTTGCCAACCAGCCAAGGAAAAATATCCTAGTTTACTAATTTCCACTAGTGACTCCTCAAGCCCAATTTTTTTATACTGAGCTCAAAAATCAAAAATATCACTAGCTTTAAAACCACACGAGAAGCAAGTAAATATTTTTCGACTAGGTTCAAAACTCAAACTTGGATTTTTGTCCCCGTGAAACGGACAGAGAAAAAAAATACTTTTCCCCATCTGCTTTGGAGTGAAGTTTAGTTTAGTAGTTAATAAATGAAGAATATCATTAGTGTTTAATAAGTCTTTATATCTCATTAATATGTTAAATTTTATATATTTACTAATAAAATTATTAGCAAATTAATTATAAGTAGTGGGCAGTTCACAATTTTGTGAACAAAAAATAAATGCGAAAGATTAAAATTGCAAGTTATATAATAAAATTTAATTATAGTAAAGTATTTCTATTCTACAGAAATTGATATTAAACTTGCTTAAATAGCAACTATCAATATTAAAAACTATGCCAAGAAAAAATGTAGATTGCGACCAATGTCAAAAACAAATTAGAGGCGAAGAAATAGCTTACTTTAGTGATCTTGAAAATGATTTAGATTTTTGTTCGGAAGAATGTTGTTTAAAATGAAATGAGGAAGAAAATTGAGAGGATATAAACAAAAATTTCACAGAAGAGTTGAAAAAAGAATGAAAAAGATGGGGTTTTAGTTATGAAAAAGCAAAAGAATGAGCTGATTCTTTTCAAGAAAGATTTGGAGTTAATGATTATTTCTTTTATGCTTGATTAAGAGATGAAAAAAATATGGCAGCAGAAGAAATTTCTGTCAAGAATAATTTAGAAGAATTATTTAATGAGTTCAAGTTGTGAATATGACAAAAAACTATTCACTCTGATTTCACCCTAGAATTACAAAAAGAATGAGAAAAAGAAGGGTTTACTCCCGAGGAATGCAAAAAATGGCTAGAAGTTGGCTTGGAATCAAAAGAATTTTATTTAACAACTTATTTGAAGAAGAAAGGTTATGACTTTCAATCGGAGATGAACTTAAAAGAATTAAGAAATGAATACATTGCCTATTATAATAAAGGACAAGGATGATTAGATAAAAACTACCCAATAGAAGAAAGGGGAAAAATTGAGGAAATTCACCTCACTGAACCTAGTTTAGAAGGTGAATTAGATCTAGGTAGTTTTACAAAACTATGAAAAATATTTATTTCTTCCCAAGTAGACGAAACTAAGATAACCTTTAAAAATAAACCTCTAGAGATTGTGATTTTTTTTCAAGATGCTCAAAAATGACTAGAAAGCCAAGAACAGTATAATACAAAAGAAAAAAGGGAAAAGACAGAAGAGTTTAGTACTGGAAATTGAAATAAAAAAGGCAATGTTCTCACATGGAGAAGTGTATGAAAAGAACTAGAAGGTAATTTAGACTTAAACGACTTTATTAATCTAAAAAAACTTGATTGTTCTTGAAATAAATTAACCAGCCTTGATCTAACTAATTGTGAGCAGTTAGATAAAATTGAATGTCACGATAACCAACTTATTAATTTATCTTTACCTAAGAATTGCCCTAACCTTACTGAATTAGATATCAGAAATAATAATCTCTTTGGTTCTGACTTATCTATTTTTTCTCCTTTTGCTAATTTAGAAGTTTTAAAAATAGGCACGGGTGTTAAAGAATATAAGTGGAAGAGTGAATACGAACACTTTGAACCTCATAAGACTTTAATTAAAAATAGAAAAAAAGAGGTAGAGCAAGGGACAAAACAAGGTATATGTAATCATTTTTATGGTAGTTTAGAACCCTTAAAAAATTTGTCTAAATTACGGGAACTAGACATTAGAAACACTGATATAAATAGTGGTTGGGAATATTTGCCTACTAGTATTGAAAAAATTAATTATTCCAGCGAGGAAAGGCCAGAGAGCAAGATCCAAGAAATTGCTGAACCATTAAACTGAATACTAAGTAAACAGATTAGTGGCCAACAATTAAAAGCCTGGATAGATTTTGGTCTATCACTTAATGATTGTGGATTTGCTGTCTATCTGGCCAAACAAGGCTACACTCCTCAATCAAGTTTCAATTTAGAAGAATTAAAGGAAAGTTATTATAACAAAAGTAAGGAAAACCAAAAGTGATTGGACAAGAATTATCCGAAAGAAAGACAAATCAAATATGGCGAGTATGGTAAAAAAATAGAAAGAAGCGAAGTAGAAAAAATTTACCTTAATGAAGCTGACTTAGAAGGAGAGTTAGACTTAGAGGATTTCACTTATAGACAAGGTGTAAAAGTGTTAATTTCTACTCAAGTGGATGAAACTAAATTAGTCTTTAGAAACAAGCCAGAAGGAATCAAAGTTATTAAAACTGTTCAGGCTCAGCAATGATTAGAAAAACAAGCCGAATATAACGCAAAAGAACAAAGAGAAAAAATCGAGGAGTTGAATATCAGCAATCAAAATCTAGAAGGAAAACTAGTCCTAAACAATTTTTCCGATTTAAAAAAATTGAATTGCTCACAAAACCAACTAACCAACTTAGATTTAACTAGTTGTGAGAAGTTAGAGGAAATTGGGTGTTATAGCAATTCATTAATTAATATTATTCTTCCTACTAATCACACTAATCTAAAAAAATTAGATTTGAATAGCAACAATTTTCCTAACCAAGATTTATCTTTTTTAGTTCCCTACTCTAATTTAGAAGAACTCGAATTGAGAAATAATAATTTCACTGGTTCACTCGATTGTCTAAGCAATATGAGGCAACTAAAAAGACTCTACATTAGTAATACTGATCTAAACGAAATAAATATAAATAAATTACCTAGTAGTTTGGAATGAATTAGATACTCTGTTGATAGAAGACCGGATTGCAAGTTAGTTAATATTATTCCTCAACTAGAAAAATATGGTGAATATGGTCGCTGTCAAACCTGCCAAAAACCCAGAACTGGTTATAGATGATGTCAACCCTGTGCGGAAAAAGAGTGGCAAAAAGACATAAAAAATTTAACCGGACAAGAAGTAGTTAAGAAGTTTATTCAAAAAAAGCCCGGGAGAGAGTTTGGAGTGGGTGAACTGCAATGAATCCCTTATGAAGAATTTACTGATATTGAATATTTAGCAGAAGGGGGTTTTAGTAAAATATATAAAGCTAAATGTAAGAAAATAAAAAGATACTATGGATATGCTGGAAGCGAAGATGTTGCTCTAAAATCTCTTAATAATTCTCAAAATATGACTTTAGATTTCTTAACTGAGGTCATTAACAATAAGTTGACCGCTTATAATATTGTCAGGTGTCATGGAATTTCCCAGGATCCTGTAACCAAAAATTATGTAATGATTATGGACTATATGAGCAGAGGTAATTTAAGAAAATACTTACAAAACAGGGATATATGAAGCAATAATTATATAAAGTCAAGAATTTTGCGAAACAAACTTGATTTGCTAAAAGATATTGCTAAAGGATTAAACACTATTCACGAACAAAACCTGATCCATCGGGATTTGCATAGCGGTAATGTATTAAATAAGGAAGGACCAAGCCATATTTCTGATCTCGGAATAAGTAGGCCAGTTAACTTTCAAAAAGAAGAAGGTAAAATATTTGGAGTGCTTCCCTATGTGGCTCCGGAGGTTTTGCAAGATAATCCCTATACCAAGGCTAGTGATATTTATTCTTTTGGGATTATTGCTTATGAACTATTCGCTAATGCTTATCCCTATACTGATTTGAAAATTTTATACCCTGAGTTGAAAGATGAAGATGAACTAAAGAAAGCTTTCATTTTAGATGTGTGTTGTAATAAGTTGCACCCCAGCATAGATAAACTCAAAATACCCCAATTACTAAAAGACTTAATTAAAAAGTGTTGAAATGTAAATCCTAGACAGAGACCATCTTCCCGAGAATTATATGAGATTATTTATAGGTGATGGGGAGAAATTATAGACGAAAAAAAAACCTTATTTTATCAGCAATATCAAACTATAAAAGATGAATATAATCATTTTTCTGCAAATACTCTTTACCGAATTTATCCTCAAACAATCACTCATAGCCAACCAATAAACACTAAGCAAATTGCTCAGTTATTCAAAAAATCTGAAGAACAAGCTTTAGAACTAGAAATAAAAAAAATTGAGCAGGAAATAAATCAGTCATTCACTGACAAGCAAAAAAGACTAGTGAGTAACTTTATTCAAATTTATAAAAAAAGGGAAAAAGGAAACAGAGAAATAACAAAGAAAGACATCAAAAATTTAAAAGACGAATTGCGAGAAAATAATTTTTTAGATGATGAAAAAATAAAAAAGATTGTTGAGTATTGCATCAGATTAATTGATTCAGAAAAGCAATTACAAGCACAAGAAATTAATGCTGATAAGTAAGCATTTTTGAGAACAATATGGTAAATAATCAAATTGAATTTAACAAAAAATTTGACGATAAAAAAATAGACGAAATAGGATTAGGAGATGAGGAATTTGAAGGACACTTGGTCATCGAAGACTATTTAGAACTGAAAAATTTATGCTTAAGAGATAACGAGTACATAGAGGAAATAGTTCTTAGAAATTTAGAAAAACTAGAAAGTTGTGAAATATGAAAATGTGGTACCAAGAAATTAGTAATCGAAAACTGCCCGCAAATAAAAAATTTAAATGTTCGCTTAAATAATTTAGTTAGTCTAGAATTTATAAAAGGTTTAGATAATTTAGAAGAATTAGAATTAGATGGTAATAATAAATTAAGCGAGATTTTAGAACCTTATGAAGGTGATTGAAAGGTTTATCAAAAAGATTTGCAAAGGTCAAATAAAGACTCTCTAGAATTATTAAACAAAATTCGAATTTTAGAAAAAGAAAAGAATAATTTATTTATAGAACTAAATCTTTCTAAAAAAGAATTAGACTCCTCTAAACAAAAATATGCTAAGTTAAAAGGTTTTCTTAAAGAAACCTTTGATTCTCTTTCTCAAGAAGCTAAAAAAGAGTTAGTAGAAAAATTGGACAGAGAAATAGCAACAAAAGGCAAGGACATTTCTGCTCCGGGAATGACTGAGGATTTAAAAGCAAATGTTAGGGCAGTAATAGAAAGTGCCAAAGAAATAAAAAAGGAATTAGAAGAAAAGTTAGTTAAGTCAGAGGAAGAAATCAAAAACTTAAAAGGAGAATTAGCAAAATTAAAGGAAGTTGGTGAAGAAAAAGGAAAAGTACTCGAAAGGAAAAAAAGTGCACTAGAAGAGTTAAAAAAAAGAATGATTAATAGGTACAAACTAGAAGAAGAAGGGCAATCAGATCTAGATATACTTTTAGAAAATCAAAAGGAATCTTTTGTAAAAGGGGAAGGGGACAGAACGTCCACTAAGAACTTGAAAAACAGCAAAGAGGGTCTAAAGCGAGATTTCGGAATTGTTGAGGCGGAAACTGACGAACTTTGTCAATTCCAAAAAGAAATCACTAGACTAGAAACTGAATTAGGGAAGATTAATGAAAGAAAGCAATACATTCAATGTATTATGATTACAGAAAGTGAAGTTCATGGTGATATAAAGTTGGAAAATAATGAAATGACAGCGCGAAGCAATGCTTTTAATGATACCGAAGCAAAAATAGGAGTGCCTATTCAAAATTAAAATAAAAAATTATTATGACAATCGATATAAAAGAAATTTTTGACAAAATTGCGATAACTAAAAATTTAATAACTAATTGTAATTTATCGGAAGAAGAAAAAGAAAAAAAGTTAACTAGGATTAATGAATTGGAAGCAGAATTAAAAAAGCAAAGAACGAACTACAATAGAAACCAAAGTTATTTAGAAACTTTGTGCAAAAATCTTCAAACATTAAAAAAAGACAATACTTCTGCTGATGATATTCAAGAAAAAGAACAAGAAATTAAAGAGATTTTAGAAGCTATTAGTGATGCAGAACAAGAGATTAATGAAATTCTTAAACAACAGCAAATTATTAAACAAGCTCTAAGCAATAGAGAAAATCTTCAAACAATTTTAATTAATTCGGCAGAAGAAGTAGGTACAGTCTCATTAGAAAATAATGAATTAATAAAGGAAGAAACTGTTGGAGGTAACGTTCAAAGTGTGATGATTGAACATAGTGCGACTGGTGATGTTGCATTAAAAAAAAATCAGGCAATTCTAGAAAGGGTAAAGCCTGGTAACTTTCAAACTATCAGTATAAGTGATAGCAAAAAAACAGGAAATGTGTCATTATCAGGAAATAAAACAACCATTGCATCAAAAATTGTTCAAGAAAAACAAAATGAATTGATTGAAGAAAGCAATAAAATTTCTATTAGTGTAAAAAAAAGCGAAGAGCAGTTTTTCTTTCTTTTTCAGGAAGAGAACAAAGAAATTCTCTCTAAAATCAATGACTATCTAAAAGCCAAAATAAATTTTCTAAGTGCTCGTCAAGAGACTATCAAACAACTTTACAATTATTGAAGCAGATTGGAAAGATCTAATATTTCTGGAAAGTATGCGATAACTGAACAAATAGGTAACATAGTAGGAAATACTGGAAGTGCTATAGGTGCTATAACTTTTGGAGTTCCTAAAGCAGCGGGAGAAATTATTATTGCTAGTAACAATTTCTTAAAGATAAATTCTTTTAAAAAAAGTGGTGAAGAATTTCAAATCTTTTTGCTGGATGATGAGAATGAATTGTCTAAACTTGAAGATGCTTTTAATTCTTTAAATGGTATTTCTAGCCATAACCAAGAAATTAAGGATTTTATTGACAATTTGAAACCAAAAAAAGGACTAGTTAGTAAAAAAGTGGAATTTTTTGGCAATAATAAATACAAAATTTTAGATGTTCTTATTGATGATGATATTTTGGTAGGGCAAATTTTGAAACCCGATAAAATGGAGAAAGCGGTAATATCGATCGAAAAAAATCTAGATAAATTGTGGAAAGATTTGGATCAGCAATTTAATAGTTTTGGGAAAGAATTTATAAGCAACCTAATTTCTGACCAAAAAATAGAAGATTTTGCGAAACGAATAGAATTAAAAAAAAGTATTTTAGACCAATTAGTTAGTTCAGCTAAAGTTATCCTAGGAAGTAAAAATAGATCTCTTAACGAAAAAATAAAAAGGAATGAAGAACGGCAAAAACTCCTTGATAATTTGAAGGAAACGAATAATGAAGAAAGTTTAGTTTCTATTAGAGAAAACCTCTTGAGCATAAAAAAATGAGACGATGCTGAGAAGAAAATAATAGGCAATCTTTGTCAGACTAGGAGAGAGTTAACTGAATTACAAAAACAGAAATTCGAGGCTAAAATAGAAATCTCTCCTAAAAACTAATCTAATTCAAAAATCCTAAATCTCTAACCTTTTCCTGTAATAGTCTTTGAAATTAACATTGATCCACAAAAGTATTTCCGGCGTCCGGTAAAAAGTTTGCCTGGCCATTTTTCAAGAACTATTGGTTCAATTAACTGAATATTGAGACCCGTCCACGAGGTTAAATTGGATTTTTATAATAAAAAATTTAGGCACTAAAAAAGCCTGGTAGTTCACCAAATAGAACAAGAAATTTATGAGATAGAAATTAATATCAACCAAGTTATTATGGGAAATAAACCAGTTAATAGTTGTAATTTAAAAACTTTTTCGTCTGCTTTCTCTAGATCCACCAAAATATTTTAATAAATCTAAAACCACCATTAGTTTTTTATCAATCATTTCCATTTCGTTTTCGGTTAAACTTCCTCGCTTTTCTCCGAATAATCTTTCCACATCAATTGCTCGCACTTGCTCACATTTGGATTTACCACCTTTTCCTTGAAAAAATGTGGGAGCTTGAAAAGAAGGTTTAAGATTATGAACTTTGCTCGAAAGAGGAACTACCACTACTACTTTGGAGTATTCATTTTGCTTATTATTGGAAACTACTACCACTGAACGCCTTTCGGTATCTTTATCATTTTTCTGCTCATGTCTGGTAGCATCATCTAAATTGGCATGGTAAACCTCTCCACGTTTAACTATTTTATTCACCACGAGCATCTTTTCATTCTTCTGGATCGTTAGCTCAGTCCTGGTAATCCTTGGCGATCTGTTTTTCTAATTCTTTACCCGTTAATTCTTTATCTTGAACTATTTCATTATAAATGACTTGATAATCTAACTTGCTTTTGGTTAATAGGCTTTTTATTTTCTCGCTCTCTCTAGTTTTGATTATTAATAGTTCTGCCATATATTTATTTTTCGCTTATTTATCATTTTTTTATTTGTAATATTTCTATCACTTTTAGTGTTACAACACTTTTTAATAATTTTTTTATCTTTAATACAAATTCTCCAAATTTAATTCTTTACTGCTCCTTTACCCTAAACACTTCCAACTTATTTTTACCCTTTTTTAGGTTCTTTTAACTAACTCTATCCTTATTTTTTACTTAATTTTTAAAAATTTATTTTGACTTAAACCCTGCTTTTTGTAAACAAAATGAAAAAAGGATTTTTTCAATTTCCCACTGACAATTTAGGAAATAGCACTCTACGAGATTTTTTTTGTTTTTCTTTTTCAATATGAAAAATTTCGTAAGTAAAAATAAGGGAGTTAGTTTCCTACAAAGAACCCAAACGGACAAAAATTTAAGTTTATTCGTATTTATTAAGTAATTATGGGAGCAATTGAATTAAAATTTAATGGATCATTTGAAAGATCTAGTTATTTAAAAGATTTTCAATGTTCTTACTGTGATAAATTTATCACTGAGCAAGACCTTAGTGAAAATAACTATCGCTTATGAGTTAGTGATTATGCGAATGAAATCACTAAAAGTGAAAGTTCAGTCTACGGAGTGGACTTCTGATTAAAAAGTGTGGAACACTTGGACTGTTCTCCTGATTAGGGGGATAGTTTTTATTTAAAAGTTTAAAATATTTCGCTATAAAACTAAGTTCCCTAACAAGCATTTTTATAAACTACTTTTAGGATTATGAATGGCGTTTACTACTTAAAGAAAATAAAACAATAATTTATTGTTTTTGTCCCTAAGGAACGCCTAGACACTTATAATTCTTATTAGTTAAAAATCGTTGAAATATCTCATCTAAGCAAGGTTATAATTATATAATTTTTAATAAAACTTGGCTATAGAAGTATTTCTATTTTTAAGAAATTAATATATTACTAAACTATAATTACATTGTGCCTATGGTCAAAACGAAAGAGAAATATCTAAGAGCAATAATTTTCAATATCAATCACTAGTTCTTAGATATGTTTACTTAAAGGTTTTTAGTGATTGTAAGTATAATTATTAACAATAACAAAATAAATAAAAACACTATGACAAACTGAAAAGAAATACATCCCGATTTTACCGAAGAGTTACAAAAGGAGTGAGAAAATTACAAAGAAAAACTATTGATAGAAATCGAAGAAATAATAGAAATTTTAGGAGATGCAATAGTTGATTACCGTCAAGGAATTTCGAAGGATAATGAAGAAAAAAACGAAAGAAAGAACCTCTTGATTAGAGAAATAAGGGAACGAATGAAAACAGATCAATTACAAAAAAAATTAAAATTAAAAGAATTTCAAGTACAACTTCCCCCCACTCAATTTTTAGCATTTTTGGAACAAAAATAATAAAGGCAAACTATTTCTTTATTCCTAAATAAAAAACCAAAGGAGAGATTTACTTTTTTTATTTAGGTGGGATTTCTATTTGAACTTGGATAGAACTTTCTTCTTGGGGATCTTCAGAAATGTTTAGTTTGTCTAAGTTACTATAGTCAGCAATTTCTAAATCCTTTTCTCTTTCTTGGCAAATTTGGTATTTGGTTTTTGATTCTGATTCCTTACCATTTCACCAAAAATTTGATATTAATGGTAGCTCAAATTTTTGGTTAACTCGCAACTCAATCTCTTCATTTATCTCTTCAATTTCTTTTCTTTTATCATTGTTTTTTGATATGTTTTCTAATCATTCATCTATAATCTCTTCTTTTCCTGAAATGTTTTGGCGACATTCAATTACTTCATTTTCCAGAGTCTTTATTGTAGATATGATTTCTCTCAATTGACTTTTTTCTTTGCTTAAATCTTTTTCAAGTTCTTTTTTCTTTTCCACAAGTTCTAATGCACTAATGGCTTCTTTTTCGCTTTTGCTGTATTTTTTTAAAAACTCTTCGGTTTTTTTCCTTAGATTATTGACCAATCGATTTACTTCTCCAAATTCTCTTTCTTTAATTTGCTTAAGCATTCTTGACAATTCATGATAGTTCTCCAAGAGATTTTCGGTGTCTTTGGTGAATTCATATCATTTATTCTTTTTTTCCTCGTTTTCTATTTGAAGACGGGAAATAATTATTTCGACAAAGGGAGAGACCAATGTTGTTCAATTGCTCATGTCTTGTTGACCATTTACTAGTAAAGCTCCGCTGGCTATTAATGCACTACGATTAACTCATTGAATAATACTTAGCAAACGTGAATATTTATTATATTGCTTAGGAGACTGTAATTCGCTTAATTCATTTAGGCTCACTTTTTTTATATTTAAACTTGCAAGAAGTTTTTCATATCAGTTTGTCTCCACTTCTTTTCCTCACTTATCAACAAATTTCTTTGTGTTGTCCTTGATAACAAATAGTCTTTCTAAAGTAATAACTAAAACTGCAAGAGTAGTGTCTTTAATTTTTCTTAGTTCGCTAATTAATTCGTCACGAATTGTTTCTTTAGGTTTGAACTTATAGACACTTTGGCAGTTTTTATTCAAGTGATCTACTATTTTATTTCTTGATTTATTTCTTCTTTCTTTGTTAAATTCTAGTTCATCTTTATTTTTGACTTCTAACGAAGGATTGTCTACGTGAATAATCCTTCCTTGGAAAAGTTCAATCAATTCTGATAATTTGCTGTCTTTTTTAACTGATTTTTTAATATCTTCCTTGCACTTTTCTTCGTTATCAAAATCGTTAAAATTAGTGCGAACTATGGTGACATAGTTAACAATATCTTGGTCAAAAATGGTTTCTTTTCTTAGAAAGTTGTAAATATTCATATCATGTTGGTTAAAGTTTCCATCAATAACAAATAATATTTGATTTACACCAACTTTGAAAATTTCAAGAATTGTTTTTAACGGTTTTTGGGAAGATGCAGAAAATATGTCAAAAGCACTTGGTGTATCAATTATCCGATAAGTAATCTTGCTTTTTTTTCCTTGATTGACTTCAAACTCTTGTTCGAGTTCTTTTATTTGTATTTCTTTGGTTTTGTTAGTATTTTCACTACTTTCTTTATCCTTTTCAGAATCACTAGTTTTGGCAGTCAAGAGGTCGCAAAGCGTAGATTTACCACTGCCGGTTTTCCCTACTATTAGAATATTTTTAACATTGTTATTTCTTCAGATTTGATAATTAAATAGTGAGGGGAAAAAATCAAAACTTTCTACTTTCATTTTTTTCTCGATTTCAGGAATGCCTTCAGCAATAATTGTTTCTAAACTACTGGGTAAAAATTCAATGTCAGCATCTAATTTAGTATAACTAATATCAAGAAAATTCAATTTTGATAAATTTCCCAAGGGAGCTAGAGAGCCATAAAAGTTAGTTTTTCTTAAATTTAGGTGTTCTAAGTTAATCAAAAAATCAAAACACTCTAATGTTTGGCTGAGAGAATTATTAAAACAGTGTAATCACTTTAATCGTTGATATTGGTTAAAAAAAAGTTTTCCTGTTAGATTCTCTTCACTAATGATTAGTCATTCAGTATTCTTGTCAGGATAGTTCTTGGTCAACCAATATTGATTGTAATCATTTCTTAATTGGTCAAGATCGCTTTTGATTGTTTGGAAAGAATGGTTATTTTTTTTTAGTCAAGAAGCAAATTCTCCATCAACTTTTCTTAAACCTGCTTCTAGTCATTCCTTAGCTTCGTGAACAGAAAAACCTTGGTTTTTTCACAATTGAATTTGGTTCAATAATCAACTTAATGACTGATTATCAGGTTCAAATCCAATCTCCATTCATGATTTAGTCTCTGATTTGTTAAATCCTGCTTCTTGCCATTCTTGTTTGAAAGTCTTATAAACATAAACTCCATTTTCATTTTTGCAACCATAATCTTGACAAACAAAACTAGGATGAATGTCTCCCCAACTATCTAAATACTCAGTTTTTAAGTTTTCCTTTTGTTGTTGGTTAAAGACTTTGTATTCTTTTCTTTTTCACGAATCTTGTCTGTTTCTTACTTCTTCAAAAGGAATATAATATTTGTTTTCTAATCATTTCGCGAACTGAGCTTCAGTAGGATGTAAACCAACTTTAATTCAATCTTTAGTTGTTTCTTCAACTTTTCAGTCTCATCTTCATCATTTTTTTCATTCAACTTGTAATTTTGGAGTAAAATCAGAATGTATTTCTTTTCAATTTACCATATTCTTTTAATATTTTGTTGATATCTTTTAGTAATTATTCGTTAAGAAATATTACATCACTATTTTCTTGCTTTTAAGCACTAATATCTAATACGATTCTAAATTATTCCTTATTTGACCACCAAGTTAGATATTTTCTCAATAATTTGACAATAGGCAAATGATATATAAAAAAACTAATTACTTTAGATAGTAATATTATTCTCTATATATAAAGTTTTATTTAATATATTTAATAATAACTAATCAATTGGATAACAATTTTTAATTCATAGTCCATGAGGATTTTTCTTATTAAATCAAAAAACTAGTAAGTGTTTTTTCTTTTCATATTCAGTTCCTTTTTCGACATAAACATCAGGTCAGTCAGGCTTTTTCTTGGGTTCAGGTTTTCTAATAGCATTATTTAGTTTCCTCGCTATCGCCAAAATTTTTTCATTGCTCATGACATCGTCGTGTTCTAGTTGATAATGATCAGTAATAGTTATTTCTTTAATTTCTTGCTCGTTGAAAATAATTGTTACTAAAAGAGAATAAGTTCATTGCCATTCTTTGTCAGTTTCGTTGAATTCCTCCTTAATTAACTTAAATCATTTCTCTTTCATTATTGTTGATAAAGCAGTTTTTTAGTGCTTAAGAATTTCTTCTCTTTCTTTGCTTTTAACTATTCCTAACATTAGCGGTTCTAATTTGAATAATTTATTAGCATAAGTTAATAGCCTGTCCAAAGTGAAGTGAGCAATCCGATAATACAAAATATCTTCAGTTTCGGCCAAAGTTAATTCCATTTGTTGAGCTAATTTTTCATCAGAAATTTTGTTCTTTTTCTGATAGATCAATATTTCGCGGCAAACTTCATATTTACTTTTTTCTAAGGGATTTGCATTTTCTGGTAAGTGTCAAGAACCCCCCTGATAATTAGAGCTTTCTAATTGTTTAATGTATTTAGCAAATTCTTCCTTATCATTTTTGATTATTTTTTTGCCATTTATTTCTTTTTTCATAAGTGTTTTATTAATAAAACTTTTTGTTAATTGTATTTTACTCTATTTTACTAATTTTTTCGTCTAAAAACAAAGAACTAAAGAAAAATCGCTATATTCCTCTCATAATGTCGGGAATAAACTTTTCAGAAGTACTTAAAGAGATATCAAAAATAATTCTTAGTAAATGAAATATTTAAAACCTGTCTCGTCATGGGAAAAGAAGTTTAAACTTTTACAAATGAACTAGTGTTTTTTTTCTTATTTTTAGCCTTAATTGGTAGTAGTGTTTTAATTTATCAGCAGTGAGCGAGAAGAACTCAATTACAAACACTAAAAGAACAAGCTCAAAGGCAATATCTACTCCAAAACATTCATTTAGTTTCGGTTGCTAAGTTAGTTAATAATCCAAAAATACACTCTTTTTTTAGTGATTTATTAAGAAATTATGCTGATGAGGTTGCGAAAAATAAAAACTTTAATTTTTAATAAAATTTAATTCTTCTAGTTGGAGTTATTATTTCGTAATCACCATAAATTTCCATTGCAAAAACATAATCACCATTCTTGCTCTTTCCTCCTAAAAAATTCCAAGTCCTATCCCCACTCGCATTTTCTTTAAGTCCTAATTTTAGTTCAATTTTTTCTCCTACCTTAAAGATATTGTCCATGTCAAGGATTTCGCAATTTTCATTTTTTCAAACGATAGATAATTGTTCTATTTTAATTCTCTCTTGTTCCCCTCCTTGTAAATAAACAGTAATTGGTGGCATTGAAATACTATAAGCAACTTGATGCGTCCCTATTATCCTTTCTCAATTTTTTCTCATAAAAAAACCTCCATGTTCATAATCTTTGAACTTTTCAACTTTTAAATTAAAAATCGCTTTCTCGTCATTTTCGATTTCTAGCAGAACTTCTTTTTTTCCAGAGTCTCCAATATCGGGATTAGGATCTAAAAGTCTTAATTTAACTTTTGCTTTCTTCGTTTGTCTTTTAAGTTGTTGATTATCATCCCTAGAACTTCCAGAAACTTTATAAATAAAAAATCCAAAAAGGCTTACTACCAGCAAAAACGCTGAAAAAACTACTATCATTCTGTGCTTCTCTTTCATTATAAATTAACAAAATTTTATAGCAAAAAAAAAAAAAAAAAAAAAACAAGTAAAATTAGAACAGAAACTAGTTAGTTTTTTTAGAAGAAGCCTAATATTCAGCAATTATTTCCCATTGTTTTTATTATAGAGTAATAAGTAAAAGCAGTTAATTTATTATAATTTCTTAAAATGCCAAGTCAAAAGAGATTTTTAGTGCTGACTACACTATGAAAAAAAGTAAATTCGTTTTTAGGAACGAGATATATTTAACCAATACGACAAGAATCATCAACAATCTTTCCTATTACTTGAAAAGTACCCATTCTAGCTTGTTGAGCAACTTTTTCTTGAAGTTCATTTATCGTTCTTTGCATTTGTCTTTTTTTCTCGTCACTTAAATTTCTTACATTGTTTAAATCGCTTTGTAACCTTTCTATGTCAGTCATGTAATTACCAATCTTAGAATTCAAGTAATCTAAATTTGCTGGCTTATAAACTATTTGAAATTGTGCTAAATGAGATAGTAGTTTGGTTCTCGAATTTTCTCTATCTTCTCTATTAAAAACTAATCTTCGTTCATCATCAATATTTACAGAAGGATTGTCGACATGAATAACCCTATTTCCGCAAGAATTTATTATCTCAGCAAGTTCCCCATTTTCCCTCCTCATTAATTCCTTGTCTTCTTCACATTTGCTAGCATTACGAAAATTAGGAAAATTAGTGCGAACGATCGTAGTATAGTTTACAATATCAGTATCAAAAATATATTTCCTCAGCATGTCATAAGCAAATATTTCTTTTTTAGTAAAACGACCGCTAGTGACAAATAATATTTGACTTAAACCATCCCGAACTTTGTGAGCTGCCTCAGATATCTTTCACAAAACCTCTTTTTCCGACAATTTTGTATCACCAATTCCAATTGTGTCAATCACTCTATACTTTACACAATTTCAGTAAAAATTTTCCTCACTAACACATCGAGTTTGACTAATAGCCGAACCACTCTCTGGAAAAACTTCTTCAAATTTACCATTTTTATTAACCAACACATTACCTAAGGTTGATTTACCGTTTCCTGTACTCCCGATTAGGATTATACTTCTTGTATTTGTCATATTATATGTATATAATTTATATTTTTTTATTTCTCAAACTTCTGCTAGATTTTGTATAGTTTCAAAATTTGTTTTCACATTTTCTCCAATGAACTCCCTTATTAACTTTCGATAATCCTCCGCTGACTTCAATTTCATTCCTTCCGCCGTAAAGATAGTAGAAGAAGAACAGTTCTTGATTATCTCTAAGTCGCCAACTAATATTTCTTTTCCCAATAAAACTCTTCCCATCTTTTCCAACTCTCCTTTGTTAACAATTCCTTCTTCAAATCTAACTCTTAACTCATTAATCCTTTCATTATTTTCGTAGTTTATTGCTGAATCTAGGGTAAAAGTAAGAATGCAATTGATGCCACCGGCACCTACAAACACCTTAGGCGAAAAGCCCTTGACTGTAAAATTTCCTCATGTCATATTTTTAAAATTTATTTTTTCCCTTAACCAGTGAACTACTGAACGATTACTACTACCCATCTGTAAGAATACGAGTAATCGCAGTAATCGATTTATGATAAATTGCTAGTATTCTTTATACTCGTTTCGTCTGTCTGCATAAATTTTTATTATTTATTTATTATATAGGTTTATCCTATAAAGAAATTTATTATAGTTAATTACAAATTATTAGGTCAATAATTTAATAAAAATTTCTAATATATGCCAACTCTCAATCTCAAAAATATCACCATCAAAAAACTAGAAGACCGAAATTTAAATCCTTATTACCTAATCATTAATCAGGACAATCCCGAGGAAGCTTTTTTCTGTTTTGAGAAAACCGTGAAAGATGGTTGAGAAAGTTTAGTTAATAATTGAGAAAGTATTAAAGAAGTAGAGATTGAGTTTACCGAGAATGAGAATAATTTCAAGACTTATCGGAAAGCAGTAAGTTTATATTCTCCTCAGACTGAGGAAATTATTATTTAGATGAGTATACTATCAGCCCTAAAATTACCACTCAAAATAATAGGTAGTTTGATAAGAAATAAGCGAAAAAAATTAAAAAGCCCATCCGAGGAGAAAATAGACCTTATCAAAAAGCATGTGCAAAATTTTGCTCCTCGTCATTACTGCCGAATTAAAAATAATAAGAAGAGAAATAAAAATACTAAAACTTTATATAGAGTAAACTTACTATAAAAGTAATAAGGATCTATATTATATACTTAATTGCCTATGGTCAAAATATTAGGAATATCTAATAAGAATAATTAAATCTGATAATCTTTTATCAACTTAAATCAATCACTAGTTCTTAGATATTGGCTTTTTAGTGGTTGTGAAGAAATTAACACAATTTAAAACACATGGTAAATGCCCAAGAATGATTAGAAAGTCACTGACAATATGGAAACAAGGAGGATAGAAAAAAAGAAGAAAGGTTAGATATTAACTCCGATGAATTAGAAGGAGAATTAAACCTAAATGACTTTATTAATCTAGAAATTCTTTTCTGTCATGATAATAAATTAACTAGTCTAGATTTAACTAATTGTAAAAAGTTAAGGGGAATTGGTTGTTGAAATAATCAACTGACTAGCCTCAATTTTTTATCATTTATTGATCCAAAAAAATTGGAGTGACTAGACATTAAAAACAATAATTTCTCTGACTCTGATTTATCTGTCTTTTCTTCTTTTGTAAATTTAGAGGAATTGAAAATAGGCAATGATGAAGAATGCGAAGAGGAAACTATCTCTAACATCTACAATCGTTTCTATGGCAGCTTAAAACCCTTAAAAAATTTGGTTAAATTAGAGGTGTTAGACATTAATAACACTGATATTGATAGTGGTTATGAATACTTACCTAGCGGGGTTAAGAAAGTTTACTGCTCTACTAAAGAAAGGGTAGAAAGCAAAGTAAAAAAAGTTGCTGAAAAACTAAAATGAATAAATAAAGATTTTAGTATTAAACAATTAAAAGAATGAATAGATTTTGGTTTCCAGTCTCAAGATTATGGATTTTCTTGTTATTTAACTAAGCAAGGATATACTCCTAAATTTGGTTTTGATTTTACCAAGTTGAAATCAGAATATTATTGCAAGAGTAAAAAAAATCAATTGTGATTAGACAAAAATTATCCTCAAGAGCAAAGAAGCAAAGTAGAAGAAATTTACCTTAATGAGTCTAGTTTGGAAGGCGAATTAGATTTAGGTGATTTTACTTATAAGTATGGAATAAAAATATATATTTCCTCCAAGGTAGATGAGGCTAAACTAGTCCTAAGAAATTTATTGAAAAATGCCAAAATTATTTTACAAGATCCTCGAAAGTATCTCCAACAAAAGTATCCTACTAATAAAGAAGAAATAATTTGTGTTGAAGAAAACATTGAGGGAATGTTAGATTTATCTAATTTTGTTAATGTGGAAGAACTATATTGCTCTTACAATAAACTAACTGCCCTTAATCTCAGCAAGTGTTACAAATTAGAGGAAATTAAGTGCTGACACAACCAACTGGTTAATTTGGATTTAAGTAATCTTTGCCAGTTAATCAACCTTTCGTGTGGAAATAATTTACTAACTAGTCTCACTTTGCCAGTTAATCCGACTAATTTAAGAAAATTGAATTTAAATAATAATAATTTTCCTGAGCGAGATTTATCTTTTTTGAAGGGTGTAATTAGTTTAGAAGAACTTATGTTAAATAATAATAAATTTACTGGTTCCTTAGATTATTTGAGCGAAATGGAGAGATTGTGGTGGCTTGATATCAGCAATACTGATCTAAACAAAGTCAACTTAGATAAATTACCTCATAGTTTAGAAAAATTTGAATATTCCACTAAGGAAAGACCAGGCTGCAAGTTGACTGCTATTGTTCCTCGTCTGGAAGTACACAAGTGAAAGGATCTTAACCTAAATTTCAACCTTATTTTGCGGAAAAAGTGAGAAAGGGTAGGATTTAATAAAGAGCAAGTTAAAGAGTGGACAAAAGTTGGAGCAGAACCAAAAGACTACAATTTCATTAGTTACCTAAGGTATGGTAAAAAATATACTTCTCAATGAGTTCTTAACAATAAAGGCAATCGTGAATACCAAACATTAAAAAAAAGATGCAATGAATTTGATTGATGCCGCAGTTGTAAAGAAATTAATACTAGTGAAAAGTGATGTCAGCCTTGTGCTGAATATGAATGAAAGCAAGGCTTAAAACAATTAACTGATTTAACTGGGCAAGTGTTGGTGGATAAGTTTCTTGAACAACAAGAATTAAAAGAAAACAAGAGAGAGGAATGAAAAAATAACTACAAATTAAAATGAATTCCTTATGAACAATTCACTAAGATTGAATATCTAGCCGAGGGAGGGTTTAGCAAGATCTATAAAGCCAAATGAGAGGAGGAAAAAGAAAGATATGAAAATTTAGCAAGTGTTAGATATTTAAATGACACTAAATGCTTAACTGAATGAAATTTATATAGAATGGTAGAGAAATTTATAGGAGGAGAAAACAAAGGTTCTCAAGAAGTTGCTTTAAAAGTCTTAACTAATTCTCAAAATATAACTTTAGAGTTTTTAACTGAAATTTCTAACACTTATTTGGTTACCAGTCATAATGTTGTCACATGTTACGGTATTTCTCAGGATCCGTTAACTAAGAATTACATAATGGTGATGGAATACATGAAAGGAGGCAATTTAAGAGAATTCTTGAAAAATAAAAATAGTGAATTAGATTTAAGTGACAAACTTACGTTATTATTAAACATTGCTCAAGGGTTAAAAGATATTCATAAAAAGAATTTAGTTCATCGCGATCTACACAGCGGAAATATACTAAATTTTTGTTCTATTAAACTTAGAAAGTTTAAAACAGTTAGTTATATCACTGATCTGGGTCTCAGTCAACCAGCTAGTTACCAAAAACAGGAAGGTAAAATTTTCGGTGTTCTTCCTTATGTGGCTCCGGAAGTGCTACAAGGTCAACCTTATACCCAAGTTGCCGATATTTATTCTTTTGGGATGGTGGCTTATGAACTATTGGCTAATGCTTATCCTTACTATGACTTTGAAGGAGATGAAACTAAATTAGCCTTAAATATATGTAGCGGTTTAAGACCTGATATAGATAAAATTCTTATTCCGCAGTCATTAAAAAATATAGTTAAAAAATGTTGAGATGCTGACCCAAAAAAAAGACCAAATGTTGAATATTTAGATCATGTTATTAGTAATGGTAGTTGATGAGAGAGAAAATGAGAAAAAGAATCTGAGAGAGAAAGTGTCTATCTCCAAATACAGGAGGAATACAATACTTTCTCCCAAAATACTCCTTACCAAATCCATTCAATAGCAACAACTACTAGCCAACTCATCAACACCCAACAAATTGCGCAATTATTCCAAGAAGCTAAGCAACAAGCCTTAGCACAAGAACTAAAACATATCGAAGCATTAATAGATCAACCACTTACTGATGAACAAAAAGAACTAGTAAGTGATTTTATTCAAACTAAAAAGCTAACCATCCAAGACGAAGCAGATGAACAAGCCGAAGATCAAGCTTGAGATTTGGAAGATCAATTAAAAGGCCAAGGACTTGCTAATGAAAACATTGAAAAGATCCTCAAGTATTGTGAGAGGTTTGTTAAAGCAGAAAAAGAATTACAAGCGAATATTGAAATTCCTACTAAATAAAAAACACCATGGTAAACAATCAAAATGAATTTAATGAAAAATTTTCTAATAAAAAGGTAAAACAAATAGAAAGCTTGCATAATCGAAGTTTTCAAGGAGAATTAATTATTGAAGATTATTCAGAACTAAAAATCTTAAACTTGCGAGAAGTCACGAATATAGACAAAATAATCCTTAAAAACTTGCCTAAGTTAGAAAATTGTACTATTTGAAAATGTAACATCAAAGAATTAGTCATCGATAATTGTCCGCAGATAAAAAACTTAAATGTTCGCAGAAATCTTTTAGATAGTTTGGAATTTATAAAAGATTTAGAGAATTTAGAAGAATTAGAAGTAGATGGTAATGCTAAATTAAGTGAAATTTTAGAACCTTATGAGGATGATTGAAAAGTTTACCAAAAAGATCTGCAAGAATCAAATGAAAATACTAATACTTTAGAATTATTAAGAAAAATTAAAGTTTTAGAAAAAGAAAAGGAGTTTTCGAACATTAAATATGATGAATTAAAAAAATTCTTAAAAAAAATCTTAATCTCGCTTTCTCAAGGAGCAAAGCATGAATTAGCAGTTGAGTTAAATAAAAAAATTAATAGAAAAACCAGTCTCTCAGCTCCGGGGATGACTAAGGAATTAATGTTGAATATTGAAAAAATTGTCAAAAGTTGAAAGGAAATAAAAAAAGATTTAGAAAGTGAACTGAATGAAAGAATAACAAGAATTGAAGAGTTAGAAAGAAAAATGGAAGAAAAAGCTATTCTTTACCAACAAAAAGAAAAAGAATTAAATGTTCAACAAGCTTTAGCCGAAGAACTGAAAAAACAATGAATAAATGCTATTCAAGAAAGTGTAAAATCTGAATCAGTTGCAAAGGAGAAGTGAGAACAAAAAGCTAAGGAATTAGAAAGAAAACTCAATGAAGAAAAAGAAAGAGAATTTGAGTTGAAAGAAGAGTTAAAAGCTAAAAAGGAGGAAATAAAGGAGGAAATTGAATGAATGAGAAAGGAAGTAGTTACCCCAAAAGTTCAAAATATATGACAAAATATCGTAATCGGTAGTCAAAGTATTAATACTTATCAAATTCAATACAATGTTCAATATCAACAATTAGAAACTGAAACTGAAAAACAAATCACTGCATCCTTAACTGATAAAGAAGTTACTCTTGAAGAACAAAAAGTAATCAATAAAACTATTCTTTTTTTAGGCACTAAAGAATTATTTATTAATTATCGACAAGCAACTATCAATAATCTAATAGAATGTTATAATAGATTGGAAAAAAGATTAGGAAGTAAACTCAATAAATTTACTAATGCGGTTAGTATGACCAACATTGCTGGCAAGTTGGCAAGCATTATTCCCGGAGGGGGAGTGGTGGAAGTTCCCATTGGATTATTAGGAGATACTATCAACCTCACCGGAACTATTATCCAAGGTAAAGATTTAGAAAAGTTCACTAAGCAATTTCAAGAAATATTAGTAAGCGATAAAAAAAACCTATCTTTATTTGATGGTAATTATTTATCTTTAATTAATTCTGTTTGAGAAGATAATAAAACCAATCAAAGAGAAATAGTTTCTACTATTATTAAAACTCTAGACTTGAAGAAGACTGAGCAAAGTCCTTTTAGTGATGAGAATGATGTTCTTAGTCAGAGTGTCAGTGGAACTTGACAAGGACGATCTTCAATAGATTTGGGAGAAATGAAAGGTTCAATTGAAGCAGTTATTAGTAATTTTAGTGAATTAAAACGAAGATTAAAAAATGAAAAGGAACAATTAAGTAAACAAACTTGATTTAAAACTATTGATCAGCAAACTGATCTTTTACAAGAACAAAAAGTAGAAGAAAAAGAACAACTAACAGAAACTCAGATAGAAATAAAAATCCCTTTTCAATAAACTCTTTATAAAATTCAACTTAATTATTGATGCTTGTTTTCTAGTAAAATTTTAAAAAGTTAGTAGAAAGCACTATTTCTTAGTAGGAATTTCTATCGCTACTTCTTGTTTTTGATCCAAATGATCTTGTTGCGGTTGGCTTTCTGGATGAACATTTGCTGAAGAAGTTTCTAATTCTTTTTCTGCTTTAACAAACCTCTCACAATACTTGAGGATCTTTTCAATGTTTTCATTAGCAAGTCCTTGGCCTTTTAATTGATCTTCCAAATCTCAAGCTTGATCTTCGGCTTGTTCATCTGCTTCGTCTTGGATGGTTAGCTTTTTAGTTTGAATAAAATCACTTACTAGTTCTTTTTGTTCATCAGTAAGTGGTTGATCTATTAATGCTTCGATATGTTTTAGTTCTTGTGCTAAGGCTTGTTGCTTAGCTTCTTGGAATAATTGCGCAATTTGTTGGGTGTTGATGAGTTGGCTATGGTGAATTGCTTCTTGATGAATTTCATATTTAGGAAATCTTATATATTCTGGTAAGGTTAGGTTGAATCTGTTAGACTCTTTAACTTGCTGAGCAAATTCAGTATCGTCATTATCCAAATATCAATCCCTAATAATCATCTTCAATTCTTCAGCAGTTGTCCTCTTTTTTGGATCGCCATCCCAACATTTCTTAATTAAGTCTTCTAATAGTTTAGGAACTTTAATTTTAAATCGGGGTCGTAATCCATTACATATTTCCAAGGCAAGATTTTTATCGTAAGTTCTTTCATAGTATTTTTTTTCATTTTCTTTTTTATAGCAATAAGGAGGTAATTCAGTCATTATTTCATAAGCCACCATTCCAAAGGAATAAATATCACTGGCTTTTGTGTAAGGTTTACCTCTTAATACTTCGGGAGCTACATAAGGCAATACTCCGAATATTTTACTTTCTTCTTCTTGATAACTAGCAGGTCGACTGAGACCAAGGTCAGTAATGTAACTATGACCTTTATCATCATTCAATATGTTTCCACTATGAAAATCTCGATGAACCAAGTTTTGATCATGAATACTATACAATCCATCAGCAATATTTTCCAACCTTTCAAGCTTTTCTACTAAACTTAGTTTGCCAATCGTTTTTTGTATTTTTTGTAAATACTGATGCAAGTTGCCATTACTCATATATTGCATAACCATAACGTAGTTTCTAGTCTTATGGTCCTGAGAAATGCCGTAACATCCTACAATATTAAATCTATCATCAACCAGTTTATAATTAGCAATCTCGGTTAAAAATTCTAGAGTAATATTTTGAGAACCAGTAAGGGATTTTAGAACCACTTCGTCTTCTTCGCCAATAATAGGACGAAAAACATGTTCATCGTACTTGCTTATATCTCTACATTTAGCTTTATATACTTTACTAAAACCTCCTTCGGCTAGATACTCAATGTTAGTAAATTCTTCATAAGGGATTCATTTTAGTTTATTTTCATATGGAAATAAACTAAAAAGTTTGTTCTCTCTTGATTGTTGCTGTTGAATAAACATCTCAATTACTTCTTGCCCAGTTAAATTCTTTATATTTTCTTGCCATTTTTTCTCAGTGCAAGATTGACACCATTCGGAACTAGTATTGATTTGTTGACAGTTTTGACATCAATTGAATTTGTTGTATTCGTTTCTTAGTACTTGATAATCATCTTGATCCTTATTGCCTAAGAATTCATCAAGAGTAATTTTTCCAACATTTTTTAAATAACTAACAAAGTTATAATCTTTTGGTTCAAATCCTATTTTCATCAATTTGTAAACTGTTTCTTTATCAAATTCTCACTTCTCTCATCTTCTTTGCAATTCTAGAGTAAAATCTGGGTGTAGGTCTCGCCATTCATATTTTTCTAATTGCGAATTGTGGTAATCACTTTCTACATAAAGATTTTCTAAATTAGTATAAGGAGTTAGAAAAGATAAATCTTGACTGGGAAAATTATTGTTTCATAAACTTAATGCTTTTAAATTAGTAGGATTAGTAGGTAAAGCGATGCTAATTAGTGAATTATCTTGACCATTAAGTCTAACTAAATTAGAGCAATTTCTAACATCTAGTCCAATTAATAGATTGTTTTCACAATTAATTCTCTCTAACTGCTGACAATTACTGAGGTTAAGAGAAGTTAGTTTATTGTCGCTACAAACTAATATTTTTAAATTAACGAAATCAGAGAGATCTAATTCTCCTTCTAGTTCACCAAAAAAAAGCAATTTTGCCACTTCTTTTCTTTCTTCCTTAGTAGGATATTGCTTATTTATATACTCCTGAGCATTCACGCATTTATTAGTCTTAGATTTTTCTGATAGGTTTTTTAAAACTAATTTATTATCTACCTCAGCAGAAATTAATACTTCTACGCCTTTTTCACAACCAAAATCTTTAAAATCTAGTTCGCCTTCCAAACTCGGCTCATTAAGGTAAATTTCTTTAACTTCATTCCTTTGTTCTTGAGGATAATTTTTATTTAACCACTCTTGACTCTTTTGGCTTTTTTCATAATATTTTTTCTTTAATTCTTTATAATTTAGACTATCTTGAAACTGATGGTCTTGTTTGGTTAAATAAGCAGCAAATCAATAATCCTGAGGCTGAAAACCAAAATCTATTCATTCTTTTACTTGCTGACCACTAAAACCTTTACTTCCAATAAAACCATTTTTGCTTACTCATTTTAACTCCTCAACTATTTCCCTGACTTTGCTTTCTGGTCTTTCTTGAAATGAATTATTAACTTCTACAAGTTCAGGTAAGTGTTCAAAACCAGAATTGATGTCAGTGTTAGAGACGTCTAAGTACTCCAAAATCCACATCTCACTCAAAGGTTCCAAAGAACCATAAAAACGATTATATTCTCCTTTTTGAATTTTTTCTTCACCATTATTTCCTAAAGAAAGGTATTCTAAATTAATAAACCTTCTTAAAAACTTTAAATCAGTTTTTTGAATGTTGTTGCTACCAATAAACAATGTCCTTAGTCTTTGAGGGCTAGGCAATGAATTTAAAAAGTCTACTGAAGTTAACTGGTTGCCAGTACATTGTAATACTTTCAAATCTGAAAAATCACTTAAGTCAAAAGTAGCCAATCTGCTTCACACACATTCCAATTCTATCAAACTAGGACAATCACTAATTTCTAATTTTTGATTATCTCGAAAATCATTAATATCAATTGATTCTAATTGTAAACAATTAGTAATTTTTACCGAGGTGATATTATTCACTACTGCTCGAGGTTTTGCTTTTTTTATTTCTTTTAGTTGCGGATAATTATCAATAACTAATTCTCCGGCTTGTTCAAATTCTATGTCGCCTGGAAATTCAATTACTTTTATTTCTTGTCTATCAGGATAAGTTTCCTCTAATCATTGTTGAGGAGAAGGATAAAAGTACTCAACAGTTGTTTTTTCAGGCATGTTTTTTAATTTAAGTTGAGGACTTCCAGTAATGACTATCTTTCAAAGGTCTTTAAACTCTTCCAAGTCTAACTCACCTTCTAAATTTAAATTACTAAGATCTAAAGTAACTAATTTAACTAAGTCTTCTAATAACTTTACATTACCAAAAAAATGATTACAATTATTTCCTTCTTTGTTATCATTACCCAAACGTAACCAATTCAGATTAGTAAATTCACTAAAAATTGATAAATTTTGGTTAGATAGATGATTATTATCGATATATAAACATCTTAATTTATCAGGATTTAATCCAGTTAAGTCTAAATTAGTAAGTCTATTATTTGAACAAAATAAATCTTTCAAGTTGATAAATCCTTCTAAACCTTTATCACTAAGGTCTAATGCTTTTATCTTAGATCTTTCTTCTCAGGGATAATTTTTATCTAATCATTCTTGGACTGGCTTTCTTTTTTCTATTGTTGGTTCGTATTTGCCCAGATTTTGGTTAGTAAATTTAAAGTTAGAAGTAGTTAATTGATCAGCAACTTGCTTTACCTGGCTTTCCGGTCTTTCGGAAAAAGAACAATAAATTCTTTCGATGTTGTTAGGAAGGTGTTCTAAACCTAAATCAAGGTCAGTATTAGAAATATTTAAAGTTTCTAGTTTAGTTAGACCTTTTAAAGGTTCTAAACTACCAGTGAATTTATTGTATTTACCTTGCCGAATTTTATCTTTATCAGTATTACCGATTACTAAACTTTCTAAATTAGTAAATTTACTGAAAACTGCTAAGTCTTGTTCTTTAAGGTTATTATTGCTTATTCTTAAATCAGTTAACTTGGTTAGATTTAAAACTGAGTAATTTAGACTAGTTAAATAATTATCTCGACATCGTAACACTTTCAAGTTAGGCAAATTATTTAATTCCAATTTAATAAGTTCATTAGCATTGCAATAAACTTCTTCTAAATTTGATAAATTAATTAAGTTTAAATTGACTAATTGATTAACACAACAATCAAGTTTTCGTAAATTTCGACAATTATTAATATTTAAATTGGTAAGATTATTTACTTCACAATACAATTCTTCTAAATTCACAAAGTCACTCAAGTCTAGTTCTCCTGCTAAATTTTTGTAAGTAATATCTAATTCCTTTATTAGGGCTCGTTTTTCTTTAGTATTGTACTCTGCTTGCTTCTCTAGTCATTTGGTTGGATTGTCAAAAGATTCAATAATTTCAGTTTTTTTTGGTTGATTAATTATTCAAAATTGATTTTTATCTACTGAATAAGAAATTAATACTCTTAAATATTCATAAGTAAAATCTTTAAAATCTAATTCTCCTTCTAATTGTTCTTTAAGATAAATTTTATTTTCTTTGTTTCTTTCTTCTTTGGGATAATTCTTTTCCAATCATTCTTGAGTGTTTTTGCTACTTTTTTCTCATTTAATTCTCCATTCATCCAAGTTTAAATCTTCTTGTTGGAGATCACAATCTTTGCTTCTCAAATAAGCAGCAAAGGCATACATTCACAAACCGAATTCATTAAACAATCCTTCTAAATTATTTTTGGAAAAAACATTGGTAGAAATTTCTTCTGCTGTTATCTTCTTTTTATCTCTTAATCAAGCACAAAAAAAATGATCATTAACTCCAAACCTTTCTCGAAAAACATCAGCTCATTCTTTTACTTTTTCATAACTAAAACCCCATTTTTTTCACTCGCTTTTTAACTCTTCTGTGAAGTCCTTGTTTATATTCTCTCAATTTCCTTCCTCATTTCATTTTAAATAACACTCCTCGGAACAAAAATCTAAGTCTTTTTCA